GGTTCTGCCCCGCGGCCCCCTCGCCTCCGCGGACTTCATAGGCCAAAACCCAGTGCCCTACGGATGGGCCTACGCCTGTCGTTCTAGAGGCGGTCCACCCGAACCATTCCCGAGCCATGGAGTCTTCGGTGTCCTGTCAGGTAGAGGACCAGCCTCTGCCGGTCTGTGTTATCCACGAGGTGAAGATCAATAGGGACAGTTCTGTGCTGCAGCTGACCAGGGAGATGGAAGCCACCATCAACGCCACCGTCCGCTACTACTGCTCGCTCTTCCAGGCCATTATTCAGAAGTGGCTCATCTTCCCCCTGCCTTCTGTATCCGCTGTGCCGGACTGGACCAAACCTTTGAAAACAAGTGAACTCAAGTTACAGTACACTACAACAAGTGTACACATCCCCAAGAAGTCTTTAATGTGGGGGGTGTATCTGTTTAATTTCTCAGTCTACCTCAAGTCTTGGGACCCAGAGGCACCCTTGGCAAAAGACTCGGATGCCATCCATGTCGTCATTCTCAGGAGTCCCCTGGAGGCAGTTATCCTCGGGGATGCCAATGTCACCATTAAGTTCAAAGATGGGCTGACTCTGGATGGAAGTCAGTCCTCTGATCCAGATGCAAACAGCCCCTTAGAGGGACTCCAGTTTTTCTGGTACTGTACCACAGAGCCAAAAAATTACCAAGGAGAGAAGATAACAGTGAGGAGTAAGGATGTCTGTCTCCCAGAGCAGGCTGATCTGAAGTGGACCTGGGCCTCTGGTCCCGTGCTGACACTTTTGCCAGAAACACTGAAAGGTGGGCGTGTGTATTTTTTCAGAATGGTGATTGAGAAGAATAACAGAAGAGCGTTTTCAGATAGAAGGGTGCACGTGCTCCCAGGACCAAAGCCTGTGGCGGTCATCTCATGTGTCGAAAATTGTGATCTCGATTTGGTGATATCAGACAGATTCTCTTTGTCTCTAAACTGCACAAATTGTAAAACAAGCCGTGATGTCTATAAATGGTCGATCCTGTCACTTCTAGGTAGTGAGATCCAGTTTGATTGGATGGGGCAAACTACAACAGGGAGGAATGGCGCTTACTTGTCTGTAAAAGCTTTTGCTTTTGAACATTTTGTTGAAGACAAGTTTTGGGTTTCTCTATATCTAAACACTTGGAGTGGAGCGACCTTGGTCTTAAGGCACCCCTTCATTATTAACCATGTCCCTGAAATCGGAGAATGCAAAATTAATCCAGCGAAAGGAATTGCACTGATTACTAAATTTGTTGTCCAGTGTAGTAATTTCAAGGATAGGAATGTCCCTCTTACATATAAAATATTAGTTTCTGATGTGCATGGTTTTGGTGAAATCAGTTCTTTAAAAGAAAACACCTTGGGGACCGTCCTGTATTTGGGGAAGGATTCTACATCGCCCCCTTCCTTTCTCCCTGTTGGTGTGCTGGCCAATCATTATGCCTTGAAGATATATGCTCAGGTATATAATTCTCTAGGACCTTTTTCTCAGGTGACTTTGTACGCCACTGTGCAGGCTCCTACTGACATGAACTCATCAGAGGCTGTGCTGAACCAGTTATTCAATTTCACTATGGGACCAGATTCATTGCTGTCTACTTTGCTTCAAAATCGGGATTTTTTACCTGCAGGTTATTTAATGTATGTAGTAGCTTCTGTGCTGAATAGCATGAAAACCGAATTACCTCTGCAAGCTGACAAAGCCAGACTCCGCGAACACCTTTTTAATCAGTCCTTCATTCTTCCAGTAAGCACTTTGGTGGAAATTAGCCAGCTAGTCGTGGCTGTTACTAAATTAACCCAGAAAGCCTCTGAATTCACCCTAGTCTCTCAGAAACTGGCCACGGAGAGGATCTGGCAGGCAAATCAAGCCCTGCAGGAGTATCGGCAAAAAGATAAACATGTCTCTTCTGAGCAGATAGAAATTGTGTGCACTGGGATATTAACAAGCTTGTCTAACGTCCTGAAACTGACTGCTCGCCACAGCGTCGTGGAAGAGCCGTTCCACGTGGTAGAGTCTCTAGCAGACACAGTCTTGGCTGGTAAAGTACCGGAGGACGAAACCACCGCCCTGAGGACCTCCAACTTCAACATGTACGTCAAGAAAACGGAAAAGTGGAACGTCACCAAGTTCTTCAGCAACGAGAAGCTCTGTCGAAACTGCTTTCACCCGACGCTGAACGAGGACAGCGTCCCCAGTTTGCCCACCAATGCTCCCATTTCTATGATGTTCTGTGAGTTCACGGATGACCCTTTCCCTTGGCTGAATTATCAGGACGATGTTTTGACGGAGGTGGCTGGGTTCAGGATGACGGGAACCGAGGCCAACGGCGAAGTGATTGAGATCACACCTGATGTCTTAGAGGTGTACCTGGTCAAAAAAAACCTGAGCTTCGCGGTTTTTAGTCTCACAGTGGGACCCAGCGGTGAGCCTGATAAAGCTGAGTCTCTGAGAAAGACGGTTGGGGGGTTTAGCTTTGAAGCGGACGGCAGAGCCACAAGCGAGGTGCTGGTCCACATCATCACGGACGTGACAGTGCTGTTCACGGTGCTGGTGTACGCTGGCAGTCAGATCACACCTGATGCTTTGGTCACCACCTTCCTTGTGCCCCGTAACATCCCCCCGATTGCCAACCAGAGCGACCTGTTTGACCCGGCCTGTGCGGTGAACCAGGCCCGCGTGGTCTGCCTTTCCCGGTCCCTTCTGCGGTTCATAGCTCAGCGGAGTGGCTCCTCAGAGTACACTGTCACTGTGGTTCTGCAGGCACCTCGCTTTGTCATGACGCCCAGTGACAAGTTAGTGAGAATTTCTATTTTCAGTGTTCAGTGCTTGGACATGCGTGGGCTCCAGAGTGACTGGAGAGAAGACACCTGCATTCTTGGAGAGAGGACCACCTGGAACAGAATCCACTGTGTCTGCAAAAACACCCCGCAGCCCAAGCAGCCACTGGCAGAAATTAAACTCCCCAACCCATACCTGCATACCCGCTATTTGACGGCCAGGATGATTGTGGTCCCCAATCCCGTGGACCTGCGGTTGGAGGTCATCAAGACCGTTCCCCAAAACCCCGTGACCCTCTTCACTGTCCTCTTCATCATGCTCGTGTACATAATCCTGGCTTTCTGGGCCTTGCACAGAGATGAAATGGACCAGTTTCTCAGGGAGCATGTGATCGTTCTGCTTGATAATGACCCTTACGATGAAGTCTGCTATCTGGTCACCGTTTTCACAGGAAGCCGCTGTGGGTCTGGGACCCGGGCCGATGTCTTTATCCAACTTCGGGGAACAGAAGGCACCAGCGAGGTGCACTGTTTAAGCCATCCACAGTTTACAGTCCTCTGCCGTGGAAGCATCAACACTTTCCTCCTGACGACACAGAATGACCTGGGAGACATCCATTCCATCCACGTGTGGCACAACAATGAAGGCAGAGCCCCGAGCTGGTATCTCAGTAGAATCAAAGTGGAGAGTCTGTTCAGCAGGAACATCTGGCTGTTCATGTGCCGGAAATGGCTTTCGATAGACACCACTTTGGACAGAACGTTTCACGCTACCCACCCAGACAAGCCTCTTAGAAGAAAGGACTTTTTCCTCATAGATGCAAGTTACAGCCTGGGGAGAAGTCACCTGTGGTTCTCCATTTTTTCCAGCGTCGTGGCTAAGCCGTTCAGCAGGCTCCAGAGGCTGTCCTGCTGTTTAGCGATGTTGCTCTCCTCCCTGCTCTGCAATATTATGTTCTTCAATCTGAACAGACAAAAAGAACCCGAGCCCCAAAGCAGCAAGTACATCAGGTCCATGATAATAGGGCTGGAAAGTGTCCTAATTACGATCCCCGTGCAGGTAACCATCATATCTTTGTTCGTCTATTCCCAGAGGGAACCTCAGGTGCCTCTAAGCGAGGTGTCTCCCCAGAAGCCTCCTGTGTCATCAGCCGCAAGTGGGCACTGGGAAGAGCGTCTGGAAAAGTGGCATGCTCGCGAAACTGCCAAGGCACAGTCCAGGAAGCCTAAAAAGCCTCCCCCAAAGAGAAAGCCTGGACGTCGTAAGGCTCCTGCCCGGGCCACCTCTAAAACACGGCAGCAGGTTCAGAGAGCAGACAGCAAGGTCTCAGACACCTCCAGAAAAAATGAAAATGCCAACAACCCAAACATTGACGATAACCAGAGCGCTCATCCTGAAAAGGCTCCTCCCCCACCGGATCCTCCAGCCCTCGAAGAGAAGCCCCGGGTGGTTCTGCCTTGGTGGTGCGTTCACGTTGCGTGGTTCTTGGTGTTTGCCACTTGTAGTGTGTCCTCCTTCTTTATTGTATTTTACGGACTGACATACGGCTACGAGAAGTCAATAGAATGGCTCTTTGCATCGTTTTGTTCATTCACTCAGTCAGTTTTTCTGGTGCAACCACTGAAAATTATTCTCCTGTCAGGCATGAGGACAAATAAGCCCAAGTACTGTAAAAACCTTCCTTGGATCAGTAACTATCGCTACACCCAGATCAGGCTGCAGAGCATCACGACGGACCCGGAGGAGATGCGCAGGCAGCATGAGCGCGTCAGCCGAATCCGGGGCTCCCGGATGTACCAGCCGCTCACAGAGGACGAAATCAGGATCTTCCAAAGGAAGAAGAGGATCAAGAGAAGGGCGTTCCTCTTCCTGAGTTACGTTCTAGCTCACTTCATCTTTCTGGCCCTCCTGCTGGGCCTTGTCGCCCTCCTGCGCCACACTGACTGCTTTTACTATAACCAGTTTATTCACGATCAGTTCTCCATGGACCTGGCGACGGTGACCAAGCTGGAAGGCATCTTCCCATGGCTGAACAGCGTGCTGTTGCCTCTGCTCCACAACAACCTGGATCCAACGTTTCTGCCTGACAGCTCCTCTAAAATCCTCGGCCTGCCGCTGATGAGGCAGGTGAGGGCGGTGCCTGGAGAGAAAGCCTGCCTGCCTGCCAAACACTTCGCGCAGAGCAGCCTCCAAGGAGAGATTCGCTGTCACCCCGAATACGGCACCGACCCAGAAGACACAAAAAGCTACTCTGGCTCTTGGAATAGAGTTGGTAAGCGGGCCGTGGACAAGAATGCCAAAGGGTTTACTTACAAGCCTCCAGAAAAGAGATGGGCGTACTCTTCCTACGGGCTGCTGCAAACTTACGGGTCAGGAGGGTATGTGTTCTATTTTTTTCCCGAAGAGCAGCAGTTTAATTCCACACTGAGGCTCAAGGAACTCCAGAATAGCAAGTGGCTGGATGAGAAGACGTGGGCTGTGATTTTGGAGCTGACAACTTACAACCCAGACGCCAGCCTGTTCTGCTGCGTCTCTGTCATCTTTGAGGTCTCTCAGTTAGGAGTTGTGAACACAAGCCTGTCCGTGTACTCCTTCTCCCTTGCTGACTTCAACCCGAAGACTTCGGCGGAAATCTACTTGTACGCGGCCATCCTTATCTTTTTTGCTGCCTACATCGTTGACGAGGGGTACGTCATTATGCAGGAAGGGGCCTCCTACGTGACAAGTGTGTACAATTTGCTCAACTTTGCTTTAAAATGCATCTTCACCGTGTTGATTGTGCTCTTTTTCAGGAAACACTTCCTGGCCACCAGCATAATTCAGTTTTACTTGGCAAACTCGAAGGATTTCATTCCCTTTCATGCAGTTTCTCAAGTGGATCACATCATGAGGGTGATGTTGGGTTTCCTGTTATTTCTGACAATTCTGAAGACCCTCAGGTATTCCCGGGTCTTTTATGATGTACGTCTGGCTCAGAGGGCCATCCAGGCTGCCCTTCACGGCATCTGCCACATGGCGTTGGTGGTGTCCGCCTATTTCTTCGTGTACATGGCGCTTGGCTACCTGGTATTCAGTCAGCATGAATGGAACTACAGTAACATGATTCGCGCAGCGCAGACGATATTCTCCTACTGCGTTTCAGCTTTTCAGAACACAGAGTTTTCCAGTAACAGGGTTCTTGGCGTCCTGTTCCTCTCATCTTTCATGCTGGTGATGATCTGCATACTGATCAACTTATTTCAGGCAGTGATTCTGTCTGCCTACGAGGAAATGAAGCAGCCGGTGTACGAGGAACCATCAGAAGAGGCAGAAGCAATGACCTACCTGTGTCGCAAGCTAAGAAGCATGTTCGGCTTTCTGTCCCTTCGATCCAAGGAGGAAGACGAACCTGAGTTCTTCATCAACATGGTGTACGGGCAGCCAGAGAAGAGCAGCCGCCGCTATCTGGGGCTGAAGACCAGAAACATCAATGGCAAGAAAATGGTCTATCTGGTCGTGTGATCCATGACGGTCTCAAGGCCTGCAGACACGTTTCTCCCAGGGGCTCTCCTTAGGGGATTAAGGAACGTTCAGTGGCTCAGCCGTGCTCTCTGCCCATATCCTTCACAATGCACATTTGGAAGGACCCCTCTCTTGGCCTCCACTTTGGGGAACGTGAAAGGAGGGTGTCGGAGTGCAGTGCAGCCTGTAGGGAGAGAGGGTGACAGCCTGTGAGTCCTGGGTTGATTTTCCTCTAGCTGGGAAGTAGGTGTCTTTGGAACCCACTGTAGTTTAGAGGGTTAGAGACCCTGATTTGGGGGAGGGAGCTGAATTCCCCCCTCTTCACCCCTCCTCGCCTGAAGCAGCAGGAGAATGCTTCTGCTGCTCTGTGCCCCTCTCCTGGGACTGGAAGAGCAGAGCACCCCCACCCCACCGCCGGTCCCTCAGCCCTGCTGCTGGTTCCCTTTGCAGACCAGCGCTGCAGGGCCTCCCCCACCCTCCTTACCCCCACCGCCCATGCTCCAGCTGGGCCAGGGCTGGAGTGGCCTTGCGAGGAGTTGCAGGGTTTGCCCTCTTGCTTGGGAATGCAAGGGTGTGAGCCAGCGTCAGAAACCTGAAGCTTCACATGGACTCCTTAAGGCCACTGGAAGTTAAAGATGTAAAATTTAGTAACATTTTCTGGCCATGAGTTAAACAAGAAGGTGTGTGGGGAGGTTCACACTGACAGATGGCAGACGTTCTGTATAATGAATATAGCAATATATACATCCAGGATTTGGGCTTTCGGTGGATTGTTTAGGAATAATAAAGAAAACGTGGTTTATTGCTTAAGAAAAATGGGCTAGCATCTGTTATATTTTCACTCAGAAGCATGTTCATTTATGTAGATGCCACTTTAAGCTTGATCAGAATTAAATGTGAGATTTCTTCTATGAGACGTGCAGTGATTTCTGTAAGAAGGTCATTTGCCCAGATGGTCCTGCCCTCAACGTGGAGGGACAGCACAGGTGGGCGGCAGCTGTGTCCCAGGCATGTGTGGCTTGCTTGGCGTCCCTGTAATCCTGAGCTGCACTGGAATGGCCAACTGCATGCCGCACCTTGGCAGGCATGCACACACATGCACGTGCAAATATACACACTCACACACACACGTGTGCACGCGTTCCATTGTTTCCTCCCAAGGGGGGTTCTCAGAATTGGACGCGGGGAGTGGTCTTCTCCGCCAGGTGAGAAAATGGGGAGGTTCTGTGACTCCCCCAGGGCCACTCACAGTTAGGGTCAGAAGGTCCTATCTGGATTTTCTGACTCCTTTGGCGGGAAGTTGCCTGGTTCTGGCCCAGTGATTCTGACTGACGTGCACGTTCACAGTTAGCACCTCTCCTTACCTCCTGACTTCTGAACAGGTTGAGAAAAATAGTAAACATGGGGGCCACATGACGACTTTTCTAGTGACGGAAGCCAGCTGGGGTTCCGCCCCAGTTGCAGGTGGTGTGGGGCCGGCCTCTCCTGAAAGGCTGCAAAGACTGGGGCAGGCAAGGCAGACTTGTCTACTCTGTGAGTGGGGGCGCCCAGATGTTCTCCCCAAATGTAGGAGTGGGCTAAGGTCTCTGCCCTCTCCCTGTGGGAGGCTCAGGGTTACTCTAGTTGGCCTCCCTTCCCTGAAGGAAAGCCCCCCAGGTCAGCTTAGCATCTCATGACTCAGAGCTGTGAGTTCAGGGTCATAAACGGCCCAAGTGGGCAGTCCAGGGACGAGTGTGGAGGGCATCTGAATGAGGACCAGGACGGACGAGACGCTGAACTTCTCGTTACCGTGAGAAGTCTACACTCTTCCCCTGCATATTGGGTAGGAAGAGTGCCAGGGCCTTCTAACGTGATGGAGCAATGAAGCATTTATAGAGTTTAGAGATGCCAATGATAACATTATCAGTGACAAAACCGATAAAGGGAAACCTCACTAAAATGAAGTCAGGCGGCTAGAAGGGGTCGCCCTCACGCACATACCACTCAGGTCAGCACCCGTCCCAGCAGGAAGAGATGGACTTCGCATCTCGGGTAGGAGTAATACTACCGCCACGAGCAGGAGGAAGGAAGATTTTTCTCCTTGCCTGGCAGCAGTGCAGCCTGGGAGAGATGTCACAGGTCAGCCATTGAAAAGCCACTGTATTTTCTGCTTGCATTTTCCTCCAGTGGACTTTGTATTTATAACAGCTCCTCCCAACTTCCCCTTCTCCTCTATAAAAGTTTCCTCTCCTTTGCTTTGTCAGACTCAGATGTCCCAAATTGCAATTCTTTGCTGCTCCCAAATAAACCCATTTTGCTGGTAAGACTAACTGGCAGTTTTATTGTTTTAGGTTAACATCAGGAAGACAAAGTAACAAGTGAAACAGATCAAAATTCAGGTTTCTTTTGAAGGTCATTTTCATAGGACATGGCAACAATTTCTGAAGGAGTCTTTTAAGAGTCCTTTGTTCTCATCGCATTTCCAGAAATAGGGAAGGTATATTCCAGAGCAAGTTAGAAACAGTTATAAATACCCTCCCAAGTCTGCATTGCACAGGAAAGCATGATAAGTGTTCTTGGATTTGTTCTCAAAGTAGCACCTCAATAACTGGGTCGTTGAACAGGTTTTATGTACAGAGCAATCTCTCTCTCTGTAGCTACATGCCTTTCATCTACCTCAAACCCTTTAATTATGAAGACTTGCATTTGTAAGGCTTGTTTCTGTATGTATATTAAATTGTTAGGTATTTACTTTAAAACTATACAACTTGAAAGACATTTTGCCCGTTGGCAACACTATCTGGTCACTAAATGCTTCCTCCCACCAGCAACCCACAGAGGACCAGACTCTCCCCGCCGGTGTCTTGTGTGTGGGAGACTTCGTCTGGGCGCTGGTGTCTCTGTTGCATTTATGCGGAGATCCATCTTGCTGAATGTTTAGGAAATGTGTACTTTTCTGGATGTATGTTACATTTCTAAGAGTTTACTTAAAAACTAAGGCCTGCTTCTGGGATTTCATTAGCACTAAAAGCAAAATGCCTGCCTTTTGACCTTAATTTTTACCGGCAGAAATGGAGACAGGGATGAATAAGATTGCATTTAACAGGGAAATGAGGTGTGTCAGGGATTAATCCTCCATGGTACCCCTCTTTAGTTGCTATTAGCAATGCTTTGCTTCAGATTCTAATCTGCATTCAATTCCTTATTTTTTGATTTCCAAATTTCCTTTCTCAGTCTTCCCTTTAAATACACAATGTACAATACTTGTTTAGTACTGCGACTTTGAAAAAGCTTATAAGGGATTCTTTTAAGACCATATTTATACAACATTTTGTAAATTGTATAAATATGCCACAACGTATAGGTAATTATATTCCCCGGCAAACCCACCCCTAACATTGTGGGAGCCCGGGGCAGGGTGACAAATATCTAAATGTCTAAATACTTAAAGGTTATAAAACAGGCTTACAAACCATTAAATAAAATATGTTACATAAATATGGACTTATACACTTTCATAAGGACAAAATAAAAAATTATATGTAAAGCTATGGTTTTCATACAGATGAAAATGGGCAAAATGTCGATGATAACTGAATCACTGTGTAGCTCTGGCTGTCCTGTTGATGAGCCACTGATCCTTGGATGAGTAAAAAGCATACTGAATCTGTAAATTATTGTGTGTATATTTTAAAAAAAATTTATTTTTATTGCTTTATTTCAGAAAAATTATGGTGTTGATAATAATAAGGATTTTCACATAAATATGTCTTATTGGCCATAGTGCCAAGTTAGACAAACTTTTCTGAATCATAACTGTTTGTAGATAGTTTTTTAATGATTTCAGTTGGGAGAAACCACGCTCTGCAGAGGGAGTAGCAAGCGGAATTGTCAATAAAATTCTTAATGCTTTAGATTTAGAATTGAACCATGAATCTTGATATCGTGGGTAAACATTATAAGGAAGGTGCATATAAAATACCATTATTGCAAAAAATATTGTATTTTCATTTCATCATATAAATGTCATCATTATTTCACTATTATCACCATTCCTTACAGCACATCTAGGGCCATCCAGTATTTCTCAGGTTTTTCTCCTTTCACGTTTTCCAGTGCTGAGATACCATAAGGAAAACTGAACACCGCAGTAGGTTGCTCACTTTGTTCAAACCTCTCTCCAGCAGAGACCTTGCCTTGATCCACAGGGACCAGACAACAGTCTCTGCAGAGATCAGTTTCAGGATTATTTGTGCGTGAAAACCCTTCAGGCTTCAGCAGATGTTATTGTTTCCTAGTTCTCATTTCTCCATGTTGTATTTGAATGTCATTTCAGTGCTTTTCTTTAAAATGTACTTTATTTTTTAGAGCAGTTTTAGGCTCACATCAAAATTGATGGGGAAGTACAGAGATTTTTCGTATCCCTCTGCCCCCACACATGGCATGGCCTTGCCCATTATTCACATGCCCTGACTGGTAGACTGGTTATAAATGACGAACCTACGTTGACCTGTCATAATCACTCCTTGTCCATAACTTACACTAGGTTCACTCAGTGTTACACAGTCTGTGGGTTTGGATAAATGTATAATGGCATGTACCCACCATTGCAGTATCTGCAGAGTTTTCACTGGCCTAAAAACCCTCTGTGCCCCACCATTTACCCCGCCCTCCACCTAACCCCGGCCACCACTGATCTTTTACTGACTCCATCGTTCTGTCTTTTCCAGAATGTCACAGAGCTGAAATCATACACTTATGTAGCCTTTTCCTATTGGATTCTTTCATTTAGTTATGTGCACTTAAATTTCCTCTATGTCTTATCATGGCTTGTTAGCTCATTTCTTTTTAGTGCTGAATAATATTCCGTTGTTCAGGTGGACCACAATTTATCCATTGCCCTACTGAAGGACATCTTGGTTGCTTCCAAGTTTTGGCAATTATGAATATGAGTAAAGCTGTAATAAACACCGGTGTGCAGGTTTTTGTATGGATGTCAGTTTTCAACTTCTCTCGGTAAATACCAAGGGGTGCAATTGCCAGGTCACATGGTAAAAGTATGTAAGAAAGTGCCAAACTGTCTTCCAAAGTGGCTGTACCAGTTTGCACTCCCACTAGCAATAAATGAGTTCCTGGTGTTTCACAGCCTCACCAGCATTTGGTGTTGCCAGTGTTCCAGATTTTGGCCATTCTGACAGGTGTACAGTGGTATCTCATTGTTGTTGTAACTTCCATTTCCCTGATAACATAGGATGTGGAACATCTTTTCATATGCTTATTTGTCATCTGTGTAACTTCTATTTTTAAGTTTATTTTTTAATGTTTTAAAATATTTATTTATTTATGGGGGAGGTAATTAAGTTTATATATTTATTTATTTTAATGGAGGTACTGGGGATTGAACCCAGGACCTTGTGCGTGCTAAGCCTGCCCTCTACCACTGAGCTCTACCCTCCCCACTGTGTATCTTCTTTAGTGAGGTGTCTGTTAAGGTCTTTGGTCCCTTTATAATTGGGTTGTTTGTGTTCTCACTGTTAAGCTTTAAAAGTTCTTTGTATATTTTGGATAACAGTCCTTTATCGTATCTTTTGCAAATATTTTATCCTATTCTGTGGCTTTTCATTTTCTTTATTTAGTCCTTATTTCACAGGTAGTTTCTTTTGGGAAACCAATTTTTTCCTAAAGCTTTAGAGATATTTTTAATTCTTTTGGATTTTTGGAAAGCTTTTTCTTATTTTAGTAACTGTGGACAGCTCAAATCAAAATTAACTTTACTTTCTGCCGAAGACCATGATTTACTCTTTGAATATATTTCACTTAACTCTTCTAGTGCATCTAGTAACTTGTCTAAATTGTCTAATTTTGACAACATTCATGGGATTACCAGTCATGTGTTTGAGAGTGGTTATAGGTCAGATTTGAAATGCTTCATCAAGATGGCCCATCTTTGGACAGATCCAGAAAACCCCCCCAAACCCCATTATATCATCTTTGAATTGATTCAAAGAATGTCATTGCTGTAAGCATAGTTGAGGTCATATGTTCTACTAGCAAAATCAAAGTGCTTGCTAACTCCTGAGGCTCAGGGCAGGAATGCCTCTTGCTCAAGTCCAGGAGTTGTTTTTGTTCCCAGCATTACTGAGATACTTCCTATAACCCTTCTTTTTCAATTCCCCAAAGAGAAAAGTTCCAGGGCTACTGGCTTTAGAATCATCCCCTAACCCCTAGGACGGTGCCCTGCATACACGTGAGTAGAGGGGCCGGGGGTAGGGTGGGACAGCCATTACAGGTCGAGGGAAGAGATTACCTGAGGCTCGGAGCAGGGGGAGCTTAGGAGGGTCCAGGGGAAACTTTAGGAGCTGGCATGGTTGGTGCTTCAAGATGAGGATCTGGAGGTTGAAGGATGGTGGGCCCAGATGACCATGGGCGTCGCCAGCCACTTTAAGGCTTTGCAGGAACACGGGGACAAGCCCTGGATGCAGTTTTTAAAGGTCACAGGAAGCAACAGTGAGGGAGGGAAGGAGCCAGAGAATAGAAACCAGGACCTGCTGTCTAGAGACTTCTTTAAAGGTTTAATACTAACCTGTTTAAAATTAACCTATACTTGGCCTTAGGAAATACCTTTGCTTGGCTAATGGAAAAAGCCACCCTGAAGGAACAGAAAGCCCTGACTAGATCTAGTCTATATGACCACATTGTTTAAGGGTCTTGCTTGATCTAGCTTGACCACACTGTGTTAGCTTAACTACCTTGTTTTGAGGATCCCCAGTTACCTGATCTTGTTATTTGCAGAGTGTCTGTTCCACAGAGCAGAACAAACTGGAAAACAAGTAGGAAAAGAGCAGCCAATGGAAGGAGATAAGCCACAAAAAAGATGGATAAAAGGACCCAGCCGAGACCCCAAAAGTGGGGGTTCTTGGTCAAGCCACCTGGGCTTATGGCTCCCCGACTCTTGTTTTTTCTTTTCTTTTTTTTTTTTTTTGAGCAATAAAGCAGCCTTTCACTTTGTCCCTCTGCCTCTTCTGAGAATTCCTTCTCAGCCAGCAGACAAGAGCCCACACTTTTGGTGGACTCCATAATTTAAGGGGGCCGGGGGGTTGCCTCTCTATCCGCTAGCAAAAGGGCTGTTTTGAACCCATTTTGTCGGCTGCCTTACGGGGACACCGTCGCCACTGCCTGCGCCCTGGCCCCAGGCCCCCGGGCTCCCGTCCTAAGGGGGAACACGGAGCACGAGAACCAAGACCACCGCATTTGGGTCGCAGGCGCGCGGTGGGCTAAACCACGTGGGGCTGAGGGAGGATGGGGTAGTTCTCTGCGCCGTGTACCGGCGGCATCAACTTTGAGGAGCCCGGTGGAAACCCCCAAAAAGAGGCTGAGAGCCTCCGAGCCGCCAGGACAGCAAGCCCAGTCCGCTTGAACTAGCCGGGACTCGCGAAGGCCCTGACGGCCGTCGCCAACCCGAAAGCTGGGTCCACCAAGACTCTCTGCGGCGGAAGGCGAGGCGGAAGGCTAGGCGGAAGCCCTCCGCGCCGCCCCGCCCTCCTCCGCGCCGCCCCGCCCTCTTCCGCGCCGCCCCGCCCACCTCCGCGCCCAGAGCGAACGGAGGGGCGCGGAGAGAGGCCGGGGGCCGGGGCAGCGGACAGGGCGTGGCCGCGCACGTGTCAGACGGGGGGCGCGACGTGGGGGCGTGGCCGCGCACGCGCTTTGGGCCGGGCGACGGCGGCAGAGGTAAGTGGCGCGGCCTGGCGGCTTGGCGGGGACTTGCGCGGCCTGGCCCGGGTCCCTCCCGGCGCCTCCCGCTCGCCCGGCCCGGCCTGCGGGCTTCCGGGCAGCTGCCCGCGGCGTCGGGGCGGGAAGGAGGACGCGGAAGGGGGCGGCGGGACCGAGTCGGGCTCGTCGCGGCCCTCCCTGCCGCGGCGCGCTGCGCTAATGGGGAGGGAGGCCCAGCGGAGGCGCTGGGAGTAAAGAGCACTGCGGAGACGCGAGCCTTCCGAGGGCAGGGCGGCCGATCTGACACACCGGGGGGGAGGAACCGATGCACCTGAGGCCAGGCCGGTGGAAGTTACCCGGACTGAAACAGAGAGAGAGGGAAGAGTGAAAAAACAAAGCCAGAACGGGGGTCCAAGAATCGCGGATAGTACCCAAGTTTAACGGGTTTGCAGTTGGAATCTCCGCGGGAAAAGAGAGACCAAGAATGGGGCAGAAGAAATATTCCAAGAGCAAGAATGGGGCAGAAGAAATATTCCAAGTGAATTTTCCAAAATAGTAAAAAAATGGCACACCACAGATCAAACTGCTTAAAGCCGCACAACCAGGATAAATAGGTTAAGGCGAGGGGGGAGGGAGAAGATATACATTCGAACTGCTGAAAGCCAAACTGAGGAACAGAAAATGTGCGAGGCAGCCAGAGGGAAGTCCCGTAGGTGGAGATGTCCGGGAAGGCCCTCCGAGTGGAAGAAACATTGGGAGCAAAGGCCAGGCGGCGGGAAAGTGCAGGGAACCTGGAACGTCTGAAGGGTAGTAATGAACCACTTAACTGCAGCCTGCTTGGATGGAGCGGGGTGGATGGCGGAGCGATTGGGAGAAGATAATTCCCAGATTAAAGAGGCCTCCAGTGCCCAGGAAGGAAGTGTATTCTGTAGTCAGGTGGGAAGCCCCTTAGCTTTGAAGCACCGCTTTGTAAAATCCTGCTGAATTTTGTTGCCCTTTTCGTGCATCTGTTGACATGATGGTATGGGCTTCCTTCCTTCATTCTCTGGCCATCGTGAATTGCATTCACTGGTTTGAAGCCAACATTGCACTCCTGGGTTGAATCCAGTCCATCGTGATGCTCTAGGCTTCTTTTGTCTCATTGAATGCAGTTTGCTAATATTTTGCTAAAGACTTTTGTTTGTGAGGGATATTGGTCTGTAGGTTCCCTCTGATTAGTGGTATCAGGGTAATTCTGGCAGTTTTGGTGTCCATGTAATGCTGGTCTCAAAACCTCTTGGGAAGTGTTCCTTTATGTTCTGAAACAGTTTCTATAGGTTGATATTAATTCTTCCTTAAATGCCTGTCTGGGCATGAAATTTGGCTGGTGTATTGTTTTATTTTAAAGGAAAATTTAAAATTATGAATTCAACTTTCTTAATAGACATAGGGCTATTCAGGTTGTCTGTTTCTTTTCCAGTCACTTTTGAGCATTGGTGTTTTTTTTTTGAGAAATATGTCCATTTCATTTGAATTGTCAAATTTATTTGGTAGAAAGTTCATAACATTCCCTTATTATCCTTTTAATGTCTGCAGTCTTAGTGATGTCCCCTATTTCATTCCTCACTGTGGTCGTTTGTGTCTTCTTCCCGTTTTTCTTACTCAGGCTAATTAGAGGTTATCAACTTTGCAGAAGTTTTGAAATAACCAGCTTTGGTTTTATTGATTTTTTTCCCCTATTCTTTGTCCATTTTCTGTTTCTTTGATTTCTGTTCTTTATTTTTTTCTTTCTGTTTATGTTAAGCTTAATTTGCCTTTTTCTAGCTTCTTATAGTAGAAACTTAGATGGTTTATTTTAAAACTTCTCCAATTTAAATATTTAAAGCAGTGAATTCCCTGTAAACACCACTTAAGCTACATTTTCTGTATGTTAATACTTTGTATTTTAGTTTTCATTTAGTTCAGAATATTTTCTAATTTCTCTTGTGATTTCTTCTTTTGATTATGGTTTATTTAGAAGTATATCATTTAATTTCCAAACGTTTGGGGATTTTCCAGGTATCTTTTTGTTACTGATTTTAATTTAATTATTTTGGGGTTGAAGAACGTACTTTAGGATTTCAGGCTTTTAAAGTTTGAGGCTCATTTTTTAAAAATTAAAAAAGTTTGTTTTTTGGGGGAGATAATTAGGTTTATTTATTTTTTACCTATTTATTTTTTTAATGGAGGTACTGGGGATTGAACCCAAGACCTTGTGCATGCTAAGCACACACTCTCCCTCTGAGCTATACCCAGCCCCCACGTTTGAGGTTCATTTTATGGCCCAGCATATAGTCTGTCTTAGTGAATATCTCACGTGCACTTGAAAATAACATGTGACCTTGAGCAGGCCTCGTACTCACTCTGAACTTGAGGTTCCTTGTCTGTAAGGTGCCCTTACCTATAGGTAAGAAGCATGCAGCGGGGCTTTGAGATGTGGGTCGTTGTTGCTTCTGAAGGTGACGTCCTTGTCTCTGGATCTTGCAGATGGCATTGGAGGCAGAGCGCCGACCCCTGGGTGTGTTTGAGTGCCAGCTGTGCGCCTTAACAGCTCCATACAGCTACATGGGGCAGCAGCCCCCTGACACCTGGTCTGTCGTGTGAGTAATGGGGTCCCAGTGGCCCGGGGAGCCTGCCCAGGGCTGGCTGGCTTGAGTCTGACACAGGGCTTGGGAACTGTGCTTCGGTCCCACCCCACCAGGCTCTGGATGCTTCAGATGTGACCTGGGAAGGCACAGGACAAGGTTTGAGGGCCATCCAGTTCTCCCAGAACCTCCCAGTCCCTACCTCCCTGCTCAGCCCAGTGTCTGACGCGTGCTCTGGCTGCGAGGTGGAAGCACTGTGGGGACACAGGAAGCTGTGGAGGCCCCTCACCGGGGGCCCCAGGCCTAGTTGCCTTTCCTGCTGGTTCCCGTGAAGTTGCTTTCTCGGCAGGAAGCCATCTGCCTTGCGGCTCCTGTACTAATGGGAGTGAGTCCTGAGGACCAACTTCCCATGCATCTCCCATGCGTCTCCCCAGAGAAGGCCTGGAGTAGAGCCAGTGGGTCCCGGGGCTTGATTCCTGACCTGCATCTCAGGGAACTGACCAGCACGTCACTTACATGGGACAAGTGGCCGGGCCAGGCTTCTTTCCTCCGGCTGGGGTTCCTCTGCTGGCGAGGGGCCTGTTGGTCTCCTTTCTGATGTGCGCTAAGGCCAGCACCGTACCCAGTGTAAGGTGCCCTGTTCTCCCTGCATGGAAGCAGACAGTTTGCGAGTGGGCATCATCCTGGGGGTGAGGTGGAAAGCTTGGGTGGAGGCCCCTGGTGAGTCAGGCTGGGGGCAGGGGACTGAGTTGCAGCAGCCTTTCTTCTGGCCAAGGAGGAGTGGTTCTCTCCCTGCAGTTGTCACAGAGCCTGGGGCAGGTCTCATTTCAGTCCCTGCCTGGCCCTCTGGCTTGCCTCTCTGTTGCTACTTGGTGGCACAGCGGGGCCAGCCCGTTCCGTCGATGGGCTGGCACAGCATGCAGGCCCTGGGAGGTCCATCAGCAGCCGTTTGGGCTGTTCTGACCCTGGCACCACTCCCTGCCCTGCAGCCTCCTGGAGGAGAGCTACGTCATGAGGGACCCCTTCACCGCAGACAAGGGCAGATTCCTGATCCTCGGCTCCAGATGCAGTTTGTGCGGCAGGCTGGTGTGTGTGGGCCCGGTGAGTAAGCCAGGAGCAGCTGGGACCGCCTTCCCGCCCTCCCTGTGGCCGGGACCTCACATGCGTGATCGTGGGAGAGGTGACAGGGGAGCCTTTCCCGGGGACAGAGGAGTGCCAGCCTTTCCTGGTCTTGGTAATCCTGGGAGCCATCACCGTCACTTGGCAGGGGAGTCAGGGGTCTCTCAGGCGCTGGCTGGTCTGTCTCATTGTGGATAGGCCGCTGCGGCCAGCGGAGGGGTAGGGCCAGGCGAGCGGGGCAGCTGGAGGGTCTCATCCGGGGTTGAGGAGTAAGAGATTCTTGGAGGCTCTGCACCAGCCCCTGAGGCCCCTAATAGTTCTTTCCCCTCCCACCAACTGTCCAGATGGCCGTGTGCACCTGCCCTCAATGGATTGTTCTTGGAGGGCCTTCCAGAGGAATGAGTCATGCTTTCTTGAGAATTTGTTGTGTGCCAGGTCCTGTGTTTGGGACCTTTTCACCAGTGAGACGTCCTTTAGTCCCATCCCACGCCTAGTTAGGCAGAGCAGTATTACACCCATTTTACAGGTGAAGAAACTGATATTTGGAGAGGCTGAGTTGGCCCGGTATACTGGGAGAGCTGAGCCTCTTGTTTGAAAACCCAAGGATGGATGGAGGTGCAGGCATGTGGCCCCTGTGACCCGAGGGATCCCACAGTCTGAGAGGTCCCTGAGCTCTGCCTGGGGGTCAAGTGCAAACGGCTGTGTCCCAGAGCATGTTTAAACGGTCAGCCTCCATCCATCAGAGGTCAAGGTGGTGCAGTTTGGTGAGGTGGGAGGAAGCCTCAGCTCAGGCAAAGGCCTGGAGGAAAAACTATTTTGGGGCCATGTGAGGGGGTGGGGCTACTGGCATGGCCAAGGCCTGACTAGGAAGAGAAGCAGCTGGGAAGTTAAGACTGGGAACAGGGGGGTGGTGTGGGGGGTGGGGGAGATCCTGGAACACCACCCCTGGGAATTTGGGCTGTACTTGGTGAGCAGTGGGGAAAGGGCCCCTCACGGTACCAGGAATCTCCACAGTCTGAGTAACTGGCCAGCTGTTGGCCAGTGAGTGCCCACGGGAGCCATCTCCTCCCCCAGCTGCAGGGCGGGCAGCCTTGTCCTGGTTGAGGTGCACCCACGCCACTGGAGCAGAGAGGCCCCCAGACACTGGGTAGACTAGACTGTCTTGTGCACTTTTCTTCTACGGGAGACCCCATCACAGTGGTGCTGGCTGGCAGGGCACAGCAGCCACCTCCACACAGTGTCTGTGGTCCACGGAGGCAGCTGCCACTCCCACCATGGTATCTGCATCCCCAACGGTGGGAAGGGACAGGAGAGCACCCACCAATTTCCTTCAAAGGGCACAGTCCGGAGGGGGCACACAGCTGCCGATGACAGCCGCTGCGCAGACTTGGCCATGTGGCCATGCCCAGTTGCAGAGGGGCCAGTGGCACCCTGTGCGGGATGAAAATCAGTTTAGTGTCAGGAGCGCCAGGGTCGATTAGAGACATGTTTGGGCAATTCTGGCCTCCTGTCTGGACCAGCCAGTCAACTGTCTCGGGTCTTTTGGTCTGTGAGGCTGTCCCTCCTGTACCCTGCTGCCTCCAGCAGCGTGGTCACCAAGCTTCTGTTCCACTGCCATGGTGACTGGGAGAGGGAGGGGTCTAGGATTTCCAACCATTTAAGTGTGGCCCGGGCTACAGCTTCTCACCCTCACCCCGAGATGGAGCCGGCAGTCCCGGAGTCCTTCCCGCCCTGGTTAAGCCAGGCCTGCGCTGCATCTCTCCTGCGTGCATTCGCCACCAGTCTCGCTGAATGAGTCCCACCTGTCAAGAACCCTTAGATACCCACTGCCTGCAGGCTCTGACCCCGCCTCCTGCAGTCCTCCGTCATATTCTCTTGGGTGGAGACCCTACTCCAGGTGGCGGCCAGACCCCTGGGCCCAGCTCTCCTTCCTGCTGCTCTGGCCCTGGCTGCACTGTCCCCACCTCCCCTCAGCTGCCCGTGTGTCCTAGGGGCCTGGCCCAGTGCCCCTGCCCTGCCTGTGTGCAAGGTCTGGCCCCTGGGAGATGCCTCAGTGCTCTGCAAGGTACTCAGCCTCCCCCCTCCCCCTCTTCTTTCAGGAGTGCAGTTTATTCTACTCCAAGAGATTTTGCCTCCCTTGTGTCCAGGAGAACATCGATGCTTTCCCTCAGGAAATCCAGCAAGACTTGGAGAAAAGGAAAGTTCCATCAAAGAGGCCTGCCAGCCAGCTGGGGTCTCGGACATGAGTCTGGTTGGTGTCGGGTCCACAGCAGTGCCCTGCATGGGGCTCCCGGGCCATCTGGCCTGTGGCCCGCCTTGTTTCTGGACCCGCGAGAGCAGTGTCTGCAGCCCAGGGGAGCTGGGGTCCCCCTGCAGCAGCAGCAGAGCCGGAAGCCACGCAGAGAAGGCGCCCAAGAGGCAGCCTCAGACGCCCATGCTCCCGAGCTAGGGGTGCTGAGGCCACGGGCGCCCCTCCCCCCGCACCGCTGCCCTCACAGCCCCCACCTGAGCCACCGGTGATACTGGCTGTGGCCTTGCCTTCTGCCTGCTGGTTCTCAGGGGGTAGGACCCGCTCTGTCTTATTCTGTAATTTGTGCAGGGCCAGCTTACACAGCCTGGGGATGGGGGTTTAGAAGCATGTTTGATGAAAGCATGAATAAAGAGCCTTTACCGACTGATGTCTGCGCTGGGTTTTCTGTCCCGGGGCCCCAGGCCCATCCTGTCACCTGAGGACTTGGTGTAGGTCGAGCCCACCTCCGGCGTGCAGTTGGTGGACGGTTCTGGGTTCTGGGTGGGCACTGCAGCTGGGGCTGGCTTTTTCAAACCAACGTTTCATTCTCACAGCATCACTCAAAACTCACCAAATAATTTTTAAAAATAGTTTATTTTTTAAAACCATTAAGGCAAAACTGTACCCTGAAATTAACTCTTTACATTCATCAGTCTTACAGTAGGACATTCCAAACACATAAGTTCCCATAAATTCAGGATATAAATCAATATGTGTGATCAGTTCAATCTCGTAAAGGGAAACTGGGTAACACCCAAGATTTTTAAAAAATCAAAGTTATTTTATAGCCATTTTCTAATTGCCTGGAACCGCTAACCATAAAGTGACTACAAGATCCCATTTGCTCCTCTCCACACACGCGGCTTCCTGCCGCCCTGGGTGCCCTGCCATCATGCCCAGGGAAGATCTGCTTTGGAATTCTCCTGTTTAGTATAAAATACAAAGGGTCTGTCAGCCCCTAAGTACTTTGAGAGTATAAGGCACCCGAGAACAGTGACGATGAACACACCAAGAAACCAGGCTCAGTCCTGGCTTTGGAAGCCTGCGCTGTCCTGCCCTGTGTCTGGCAAGGCTCCCCCCTCGAGTTTCGGCATGAGCCCCACAGGTCCCGGTGGGCAGTACAGACAGATATCAAGAAGAAATTTGCCAAGATACAGAAAACAACGTATGGGGGACTCACGAGGGTCTGTGGCTTCTGCTTTATGCTCTGGGTTGGGCCATCTGGGGGCTGCCAGGGACCCAGCAGAGTATTTCAAATTGCAAAGTTCTTTGGTAAAATCCCACAGGAGGTAATTCCCTGAAGAGCAGACAGCTACTCACTACATAGGAATAGTTCACGGCCTTGGGCGAGACCCTGCTGTGCAGGGTCACTGACTGCTAACCCGGCCTGAGGCAGCCTTGCTGGTGGGAATGGCAGAGAGACACGTGCTTGTCGTCTTGTATGTGAAGCGCGCAGACTTCACACACAAGGGCTCCGAGAGGAGGAGCCCTGCCGAGCGTGTGTGCGTGTGTGTGCGCAGCTGTGTTTCAGCTGTGGTAGTTCAGCTTCCTCTGTTTCCACAGGTCCAGGAGCTGGGCTGCTAAGAGTGCATGTCAACTAACACTGATTTCAGGGGAATCCAAGTGTCTGCTATTAGATGCATGATTGTAAGTTAGTAAAATATTTATATTAGGATTTAAAAAAAATCACAGTATTTAAGATATAGCCATTAACATAGTTCTTTTTACCATACAGTGTAGAAAAAATAGTGATACTCAAATTCGAATACCGTGATCTTACCAAAAAGGGTTCTGAGTGGTATCCATCTTATGTGAGGTACATTCTTTTTTAGGCCTGAAAAAAGGACCAGGCCATCTGTGCCTTTAAAATGAAAAGACATTTCCCCAAAGTGAATGATTTTACCTTGAAATCACTTGTCTTCAGGGTCTGGGGACTTGGTGGCCCACATGCCCATGGCCCCGCAGCTCCCCGCTCGTCCCAGGAGGCAGGGGTGATGGGGCGCTCGTCCGTGCACCGGCTGGCGTGGTTCTGGACTGTTCATTACAGAACAGACTTTAGGTGCTGGGTGCCGGGGGAGGGCAGGGGGTAGGAAGCCGGTGTGTCACCTCCTCTGGGGAAAACATGGAAGGCTTCATATGTGACCCAAACTAGCAAACACATTTTAAATTTACAAACCTGACCCAGGTCTTAATTTGCTGTTTGTGATGTTAAAAAATTGATTTTTTTTTTTTTGCTAAATAATGCATTGAACAACCACGGGGGCACTGAGGTCCTTGCTGTTGTCAGTTGCCTCAGTCAGGATGTGACCGTGAAGTGGATGCAGTTTGGTCTGTGCTATTAGGCAAAGGAGTCCCGGAGGACGTGGCTGCATGGATCCCAGCTGGGCCACAGTGGCCCCCTTTCCTCAGAGGGGTGGAAGTAAACAGGGAGACTTCTCTTGTCTCGGACGGAGATTCTGAGAAGCAGATGGTCTGCTGACAGCCCCACTCGACCTAGGAGTCCTGATGCCTTAAGCTGGGAAGAGGCTGCTGGAAGTCAGCCGGGGCGGCACCTCTCACTTTCTGCTCCAGTGACCAGGTGGCGCCCACAGCGGCCCCCTCTGCAGCTCGAGGACCTGCCGTGTCCCAGGAAAACAGCCGAACAGAAAGCACTACTTAACGTTTGAAATGGAAGCGTGAAGACTCAACTGTCTTTTTTCCCTTTTGTCTTAACAAAACTTCCAAGATCACATTTTAGCTTGTATTGTAGTTTCCAGGGAAACAGAGGGGTCTCCTGTGTTCTGAGTCAGACCGATTTCTGGCCTTTATTCTCATTCTAGTGTGTTTCACAGGCTGAGGGTCGATGGCCACGTCCCTGAATTGTATTAAAACGGCACCTAAAAGCAGACAGACTTCACCTTTGGAGCCGAGTCTTAGATCTGTCCGGGCAGAAGGTCCCCAGAGGAGATCTTGCTGTGGGGACAGTCCTTACCGGGGTAAGGCGGAAAGAGCCCAGGTAAGGAGGCGCGGTCAGCACCGTTCGGGCAGCCTGGTTACCGTCACGGCCCCGCTGAGCGGTCCGCGGGGCCCTCCTGCTGTAGGCAGGCTGTGCCATCTGAAGGTCACTGCTGTCAGGAAGGCAAGATTCCCCTTAGCTGACCGCTTGATGCAGACTTGGTTGGTAAGAATCCTTAATCCCAGGGGAGCCCATAAGTCAGCTTGGACCAAGATTTAAGAGAAGCGGGGCCACTTTGAAGATGAACAAATACAGATAACCTGGCTTTGGAAAAGGCCAGCGCCCGCCTCCCAGTGCCGTACAAACGGTGAGTGTGGAGAAGGTCCTCCCCGGACACTTTATAACAATCCGTAAGCCCTCAGTTGATGGCATCGACCTTATCTTGTGACTTCTATGGACGGTATAATTTCCTGACCTCTCCTGAGTTGACACCACTGTTGTGAATTTAAGAGCAAGTAACCCCTCCAGGTGGCCCAGGCTAACCCGCAGGAACCCGGAGGTGGTGGAAATGCGCTAGACCTGGGGCCAAACCTGCACCGCCAGGAGAACCTTCATCCGAGCCCAGGTGTTTCCATCATGGGGCGGAGACCTGGAGGAGACAGCAGGAACCTGCGTTGACAGCCTAGGTGGGTAGCTGGGAGCACCTGACATGTTTTCCTTGCGGGATCTGTGTTTTGAAAGGCAACACGGGTCGAAGAGGTACTATGAGGGTGCCGGGCTCTCCCTGGGTCCCTGGAAGCCCCCACAAAAGGCCAAGCTGGTGGTCAAGTCAGTCTTAGCTGGGAGCACTGGACTTGCTGGTTGAAACAATGGATTCATATTTAAACAGGAGTTTTAAAGACATTCCAGAGACAGATGTGGTCATTGGGTCAACACACACACACACAACCTCTCCATCGTGTATCTGGTCATAGTTACCAAACGTGCCCGGCATCCCAGTGGTTTGAAACGGGAGCCAGAGGCTGGAAACGCCCGGAGCCAGGCGCAGGTGCAACTGTGGGGCGGAGAGGCTTTGGAAAGCCATGGCCTGATGGAGGCTTGCACGAAGGCATCTCTCTCCATCCTCACCTGCCAGGATCTCTCCATGAACAAACAGGCTTACGCATGGCCAGCAGGCACAGCTGGAGGCGGGAGGCCTCGGAGGGCAGGTCACCGCAAGCCGGGACCACTGCCGTTTCTCCTAAACCCGGGTACCGCTCACGCGCAGCGACTTCTGCACGTGTGTGTCTGTAAGGCTCCCTTCAAACAACAGAAGTTCCCCTGAAGAGTCCTGTAAACTTTCGTGTCTCAGCGCACACAGCGGCAGTGAGCATACAGCCTGAGCCCTCAGCTCAGGTCAGACTAGAGGCGCACCAGAAAGCCCCCGCGTTTGTATGCACCTTGATTTTTAACAGTGCCTCTGACAGCTCTCCTGAGGTGGCTGTCCCGCTGCAGGCTTGGGGAAGCAGGAGCTGCTGAATTAATGGTTTACTTATCATCATATGTCAAACAAAGGATCTTACTTGTGCCTTGAGCTTCTGCTCGGATCTTAGGATGCTGCCCTGGGGCTGGAACCTCCGCACGGTCCTCGAGGCCACCTGCTTCTGTAGTTTTACTGCAGAAAGAAACACATCGCTCCAGCGGAAAGCTGCGTGCTATGCTTATAGGAGGAAAGGGAGGAGGCCCTTTAAGAGGGACAGCTCTCATAGGCATGAATGCATGGAGATCCCTTCGCCTCCGTTCACAGGTATTATTTGTGTGCGTGTATCTTTTTTTTTTTTCGGGAGGGGAGGTAATTAGGTTTATTGAGTTAGTTAGTCTTAATGGAGGTCCTGGGGATTGAACCCAAGACCTCGTGTGTGGTGAGCACACGCTCTACCTCTGACCTAGACCCTCCTCCCCCATCCTCTTTGGGAAGATGCTTTAAACTCATTGCACCAGAGAGCTGTAGGAAGGTCACAGGGAACCCGGAGACAAGGCGGGAAGGAAGGAGGGGCTCCCAAGCTCCGGCAAAATTCAAGCTGCTCCCAAATCCCGCACCCACTGACGGCTGGAGGGGACCCGGTTTCTGACAATACCGGATGTCACCAAAACAACTCCCTGCATGTGCAGCCCTCTGGCCTCTCGTGGGGTGGCCGGTGCAGAACTCAGTGTGGGGGGCTCCAACTGGAAATGCCCAGGAGGCAGAGGAGGGGCGCCGCGAGCCCCTCATCCCTCTTTCCCGTCAGCACTGGAGACAGAGGCTGCCCGTAACCTGTGGTCTCTGGGGAGTTCAGCCCTCTGTGCTAGGACAGGCGAGGACATGAAGAATCAGGTTTAAACAGCGACTTGAAGGTGGGCTCAGGGTGGTGCAAAGGGGGCCCCCACGTCCTGTGTCCAGCACCGGGGCAGCGGGCTCCACACTCATGGTTGAAGCACCTGGAACCTGCTGCAACGCTTCCGTTGTCGCTGATGCTGACGATGTCCACTGAAGCCCAGCCAGCAGTCCGTGTACCCCTTAAAGTTCCTATTGGAAGTACTACCGTGTATGGCCTGGTGAATAACTCGTTCATATTTGACTATCAGTGCTCTGAGAAATCTTGGATTAGGTGGCCCAAAATATTCCGAGTGGCAATCAGTGACACCGTCGTTCAAAACGAATTTCTTCTTATTAACAAGGGAACAAGGTCAAGTGACTTTCACACTGAGGTCGCTTGTGGCCTCCTCTGTGGCTTCCCCAGGGGTGCGGCGGGTACTCTGGCTGGGCCCCAGGAGAGGCCGAGGCTCACTGACGCGGCCGATGCAGCGCCTGGGCCCCCGTCGGCTTGCTCCTGCGGCCAGTATAAACTGGGAGCTGTTTTACGTAGGCTTCACGAGGATCTAAACAGGATGGACAGCTTTTCTGAAAGCCTGCGTCTCAAGGTTCACTTTCCGAAGTCGCGTCCATTTGAGTGGATCTGTCCCTGGACACCAGAGCGAGAGGCGACACACGCCTGGCCCCAGAATCCAGTCCGCGACCGGAGACCTGCAGCAAGCCACAGCCCGCCAGGCTCCCAGCCCGGGGAGGTCGCACTTTAGGAGAGAACAGGAAATGGATGCACCACGTGACTCAAAGCCCTTCTGACTTAGGGAGACCCGTGATTGGTGTCATTCTAAAGAGGAAATGCCTTTGTTTGCTTCCAACAGATCCTTTGATTGGATATATCTTAAAAAATGAAGATAAAAAACATCGCTACATGTGTTATGTCAAAAGGACATCCTGATTGTAACCTTTGCTTTTTTCTAGTTGAGGTCTCACAGTTCCGCTTGTAGTGATGCTGATCTTGGGAACTTAACCAAATTCCATCCTAGTCACTCTTCAACAGCAAATAGTAACAATGACCTTACAGAACCGAATTCCTCAAAGATAAAGGGGGAGGGAGCTAAGGTACAACCAGGCCGTAAGTGCTGTCAGTCCAGGAGGCGCCCAGGGACCTTGCAGAGTCAGCGGAGCCTGCAGGCTCAGCCCGTCTGGCTCGGGGGGAGGCCCTGCTGCAAGCCCTCTGACGGGACAGTTCGTCTGCTGCGGCGGACAGAGAGGCTTTCCAGGTCCAGGTGTTCTGAGACACACCCATAAACAACACTGCTTTCGTAACTGGACCGAGGCTGAGGAGCTGCTCTTTAAGGCTGAAACAACTATTTTAGATACTGGGCCAAGCCCCTTCCGCACGTAGTTGGAAGAGGAGACAACTCTCCGTCTCTGTGAAACCACCAGCCTGTCAGGAATCCTGAGATTCACCCCACCCCTCCACCCGGCACCATTCTCCGGATAAGACCCCTGCCCACCCCCCGAGCCACGCCATGAACTCACATCTGCCACATCTTCTCTCCACGAAGCAGCTACCACCAGCAAGTGTTTAAAAAAAATAATAAAGCTGCATATTTCAAAAGCAACATAGAAAAAGACCACAGAGCTGCCTTGATGGGGGCAGGGGGCCCAGAGCAACATTTACAAATCATTTGTCAGTTTGCCCCTGAAGACACGCCCATGGCCCCCAAAAGCCTGACTGGGCTGGTTCAGATTTGAGGGGGAATCGAGGTGAGAGGAATGGGAAGCTGACCTACGTTCAGTCTGTCTCGTCCCTGCCAACCACAGACGCTAGCTTCACACGGCAAAGAACCAAGTCCAGAGGGGCCTGAGACCGGCTTCCGGGACCTTCTACACAAACCTGGGGATAGACTTCTCCACGTATCAGCCCTAAGCAGGAAAGCAGCACACTGAAACAAAGCCACCCCGCCTGCGCACAGCTTATCAGAGAATTCTCGGAATCCTAAATCCTATGGTGAAAAAAGCCCAGCATGTTGCCTTTCTTCAAGTTCAGGGAACATAATCGAAGTCTTCCAAATAAATACTTGGCTGCTTCTAAAACGCCTAACCTTTGGATGCACCTAGACTCACAGGATTATGAAAGTTAGAAAGTGCTGATTAGTTTTCCAAATTAGAAAGGAGCACGACAGTCAAAAGGTGGCGAAAAGGGAAGACAGAGCGCAAGTTCTGAGGCTAACGTGACGGCAAATTACGAACATGATGTAAAGAAACCTGTGATGATTAACTAACATCAGGTGTGTTAAAATCGGACCGCTGAACATCACTCTTCTTAATTTTCCAAGTCCGGACTGTCAGCCGCCTACCATCGGCATTTCAATACTTTGCACGCGCTCAGAAGTACTGGTTAAAAGAAGACAGAGACGTGGAACAGGACTCGGTTACCCGGAGCCCAGACTCCCGTCGTGTAAGGCTAAAGTGTGGCCGCGTGTGCACAGTCGCACCGCCGCCACCGCTCACGCGTCGTGCTGTCGCCGGCAGAAACCCTGCACGACTTCCTCTTCTGTGTTCACGGGCAGGACATCAGTACATGTCCCTGTAAATCTCCTGCAGCAGCGGGTGCAGAGCCGCGTCCGACTCCGTCTTCTTGATGACCTGCACCAGCTGCGCGTGCTCCGTGACCAGCTGCCGCAGGTCTGCCAGTTTCTGGAGGAGTTTTGGGAAGAGGAAGACGTCGTCGGGATGGTTGCTCTGCAAGTGGAGCCTCAGAACGTGCACAATGCCCTCCTGCATTTTCTCAATGTGTCCCACGTTCAGGAGGCCGGGCCGATCTACCCTCGAAAGAAAGAAAAAGACGCCTGAGTGCCGTGATCGCCGCGTTAACGCCGAGTAACGGTTTTCCAGCTTGAGAAAACCGAACGTTCTTATTTTACAGAAAGCTTAGCTGCCTTTAGGTGCTGTCAACTTGCCTGGAAGGTGGAACTGGATTTTCCCAAAGTCGCCAGGCCTAGAAGGGGTAGACAGTTAGGGCAAATACTCATTCCAAAATATTTCTACTGCCTTAACTCAACTCCCTACCTTACAGGGCGGCCACTTCCTCTAGGACTGATCTGATTGCCACCTGTCAGGGGAAACCCCCAGCATATTAGGTGAAGCTCTGCACACAACCAATTTTGCATAATACAGGAAATCAAATTCTCCTTCCCACGTCTTCCTAGATCTTTCGCGTCAGCGATATTTGAGGCCTGTGATTAGTTCACCGTAGGCTTTGTAGTATAAAGCACTGTTGCAAGTACCTTCTCGTATAAGTCGACTTAAAAGACAGTGGAGCGAGAAATGAGTGGAAGGATGGATACCGGCTGGAGAGGGTGCTGAGGACACCCGCAGAGGGGAGGTCCGAGGCCTGGCGCGGGAGGGGCGACGAGGACAGCAGGCGACTCCCCGGGGCGGCTCAGACGCAGGCCCCAGGCTCCCTGGACAGCTCAGACCTTGTGCCCCCCGCCCCCGTATCCAAACTCCGTAGGCGGCGCTCTCTTTAGGGTCCTACTCGTTACCAGTATTTTCAAAAGTGTTGCTAATGATGTGGATTTTCCTTTGTTAAATAAATATAATTGTTAAGTTTTTAAACAGAGAGATTTAAAAAATTGTAAGTAAGCCCCCCTCGAATTTTAACCCCATCATACAGATTTAACGGATATCCCACCAGACGGTCTTCTGCTCTGTGACGTGAATGTCCTTTATAAAACTGTGGCCATACTGCTTAGAAACAGTTCTGCCTGGCTTTTGCCCACAACACAACTCTGGAGCGTGCTCACCAAGGACAATGACAGATCACGTGCGGCTGCCTTGTGGTTCTACGCATTTTGCCAGAGCACAGGACAGAGCACAGGACTCCCCCCCGCCGGACTGTGCCCAGCTGGATGGTCAGAGGGACGGCCTCATGCAGCTGAGCACAGCCCCCCGCCCCAGCCCCACGCATGGAGTCTGGGCAGCTGCTGCCAGCCTCAGTTCTGCCAGGGAGGGACTCGGGGGGACTGCACAGCTCCGGGGAATCTGAGGAGGCCGTGGCCCCATCAGTCTCCCCAGGGCTGAGTGAGGTCAGCTGAGTTTACGGTAAAGGGATGACCTTCTTAGACCCAGGACAGGGCTATTTAAAGGAACATGACACTGAGCCAAAAATCTGGGGACTGCAGCTCCCCCGCACAGAGGCCCAGCCCTCCCTGCACTGGGATCCATTTCCTTTGGCAAAGCACATTTTGCAGTCACTGCCAGTTAGTTACTGACATTTTTCATTATGAAACAGTGTAACTACACCAATAAAGACAGCAACTGGACTAACATCTGTGAGCACTTCACAGAATACTGTCTGTGATGTGGATCTAATACTATAATAACAATTATAACACAGTCGTCCCTCGGTAGCCATGGGGGACTGGCTCCAGGACCCCCAAGGACACCAAAATCCAGATGCCCACGTCCCTTCTATAAGATGGCATATTACCTGCGCACACCCCCCCGTGCACTGTAAATGAGCTCTAGATTACCTATAACACACAGTACAATGTAAATGCTATGTAAATAGTTATAAATACAGTGTAAATGCCACATAAATAGCTGACGGTGCGTGGCAAATTCAAGCTTTGCTTTTTGGAACTTTCTGGAAATTTTTTTCCTGAACCTGCAGTTGGTTGAACCTGCAGATGCAAAACCCACAGAAATAAAGGGCCAAATGTATATGATAATAATATACACCATACACTATAATATTATTATTATTATACCTGATATATAATAGATACTAGACATAATGGATAACAGATATAATTACACTAGCATTATTAATGATATGCTATAAGTAGAATATATATTTATGTAATTATAAACAGAACATATTTCTATTGCACAAACGTGTTTGTATATAAGACATGCTGTAATATGACATGTGGTGACGACATTCTCACCCGTTGCCGGCGGGGACGTGGGGCTCGGATGCCGCGCGGGCTCTGCTGGGGCCTGGCTCCCGCTCACGGAGGGGCCGCCCCCGCCAGGCCTCAGGCAGGAGGCTGTGAGCGACAGGCACCTGCAGAGGAAATCGGTAACTTACCTCCGCAGCAAATGATAGCAGCCACGAAGAGGGAGATATCACTGTCGTCCAGCTCGAGCGCGTTGAACTTCATGGCGAAATCAAACTTGGGCTCCATGATGTCGCAGAACGGCTTCCTGAGGCTTTTCAGGAACTCGCGGGTTATGAAGCCGTTTCCGTAGGCTACCAGCATCCCGTCTTTGTTCATCACAGAAGACAGCATAGCAAATATGGCCTCGTAAACCCCGTACTTCAGCAGGGTGACCTGATCGTTCAGGTCCAAGCTGGCGAAGCCCGGGATGGACTTGGCGAATTCCGTGAGCTCCGTGACGGTCTCCACGGACGTGCACTGGCAGCAGTGGAAGATGCGGACTTCTGCCTCCTTGTTCTGGATGCCGTTGGCCACCAACTTGGCCACCAGCGTCTTCTCGGCCATACACAGCGTCTCCATGTCGTGGATGACAAAAGGCTGGAAAGGGAGACACTGGGATAAGTCAGGTGGTTGGTGTCAAGCTGTCCTCTTAATTAGCAAGAAACTGATGGCAGTCACTGTATTCCAGTCGCCTGTGGAGACTCAAAACATGTGCAAAACACAGCCCTCATCCTTAGCCCCAAAGTGAGCTGCCGATAAGAATTACCAGAGAACAATGTAAGTCAGTAAGGTGACAATCACCATTGCCTGACACTGGAGGGGACTTCACTGCTAAGAAGCTAAAGTACTGATTTTGACAATAAAGCTAACAAGAAACAGAGTATCAGCAGGGCACTTTAAACATTTTATAATATTCTCTGAACTCCCAAATATGACTGCAATAGCCTTACCTGCAATCATTCTTTTTTAATATTTTTATTTTTAAATTTTTATTTATTTATTTTTTTGGCTTTGGGGTTTTTTGGGGGGATATTTATGTATTTATTTATTTATTTCAGTGGAGGTGCTGGGGATTGAACCCAGGACCTTGTCCGTGCTAGGCATACACTCTACCACTGAGCCATACTCTCCCCCCGAGAATTCTTAATTTTACCATTTTGTGAACTTCAGAGATAACCACCATTATCCAACACTGAGCATCGAATGAATGAATCTGGCACGTAAACACGTACAACTCAGAAAGTCGGCATTTGTGTAGAAGTAAACAAACGCGCATTGTTAAGCCCGTGCTCTCTGGGCACAAGCGGAAAAGCCCCAAAGGGCTCCCGTTTCTCAGGGCAGGAGACTGAAACCTCCTCCCCAGTGCCCCACCTTCTGAAACAAGCGTCAGGTCCTCACGGTAGCTCCTAAACATGGCCTCGCCATCTGCCTCCAAACCCACCAGTCCTGCCACTTGCTAAAGATCTAGAGAGGAAAGAAGAGGCGGCTGGCATGTTATTTGAAGCCAGCGTGCCCAGAAGGGATGGTGTATCTGGGGGGCCTAGGAGAACCGGCACAGACACCGCTGCCGGCTGAAATCCACGCCAGGTCTGTGTGCGGAGCAGAAGAAATGGCGTCTCCAAGGGCAGTCTCTGATCTATACTCTGCTCCACAGATCAGAAATTAAGTGGGCGGAGGCATTATTTTCAGTCCCCACTTAGTGTCCAGGCAGCCCAGTGATTTTATGCACTGCTCTGCCAGTGGGTACCACCCATCACTGACCATGCATCTGGGCTCACAGCATGGCACGTGCCCTGTTTCTGGGCTCACAAGAGCAGCTGGAAGAATCACAGTACAAAGCCATCTGCAGGGCACCTGCGGGGTGTCCCCGGCCCAGAAGCAAGCTGGAAGTGTTGGAATAATCTGATGACTGCCTTTAAAATTTTTAAACAGAACTTGAATTTGCAATATAGTGTTGGACCAAAAAAAAAAAATTGATTCCACATCAGAGGAAAGAATACTTTTTAAATTATCCGTGAGCGACTGAAAACATTCTGAGTATAAAATTCAAAGCCAAACTTCTAAAAATCCTGTTTGATAAAGGAAAACTAAAACTGTCTCTCTCTAAAGACTTTAAAAGCAGGCCAGATCTACCATTGTTCTGGGAAAGTTTGCGGGCACGTCTGCGTCACAGAAGTTGGAGCTCAGATTTAAAGAATTAACGTTAATAGGATGCACTAGAAAAACGTTTTTAAAGGAGAGGTGGCACTATTTCCTCAACTCCAGAAAATACAATATTAGGTCACCCTGACTTTATTTGAAGCATTGGCTTTTTAAAAGGACCTTCAGCAGAAATAAAGGTATTATATAAAATTTAAAAAAAGAGTGCCATTGTCAAAAAAAAAAATTCGAGAAACACTGAGTTAAATGAAGTTAGGGCCTGCCAGAGCCTTTAATGTAATGAGTGTCCAGGACAGGGTTAGGGTGAGCAGTGGTTCCAAGTGTCTGATTACAGAATGCTTGTCTATTTATTTATTATTTTTTGGTACAACATCTCATAGGACCAGCACACACGGGCTCTATAATCTGCAGGGTCCAGTGTAAAGTGACACTTAGAAGAAAGTGATTAAGAATTTCAAGACTGGGACACGGAGCATTAAACCCCAGTGCAGGGCCCTTCTAAGCAGGGGATGTTGTGAAACAGAACGGGTGCCCAGGAAGCCGGCCCGGCACCAGTTCTGTGTGAAACTTTCTCTCTTAAATGGAGACTCAACTGGTAACAGATATCTCATTTCTTTTAAATAAAATTATCACTTGGATTTTAGAAGGCAGGCCTCATTCACAGGCAAAATTAGAAACCATATGAATTCAGAAAAAGTGCTAACATTGAAAAACCATGTTTATTGAAGCCAAAGAGAAACTGTATAGCAAGACACTTGAAAATCTGCCAAACCTTACGGAGAAACATTCTTGATAAGACTATTTTAAAAATCAGGAAGCTTATATTTAACTCTGAAATGTGCCTTTTATAGCCACGCTTGCATATGAATCTATCTGACGTTACAGGAGGTCATTTCAAATCAGCAGAGCACATTGTAAAGACTTTAAACAGCACAGGGCAGAAAGCTGCCCACTTTCCCCAAATCACTCCACACCAAGACCAGAAGCCTCCCTGCACTGATACATACCACCCTGGCTCACACCTAATGGTGTTCTTGGTGTGTCAATCCTGTTATTTACAAGAAGTCCTCTCCAAAACACATTTAAACAGCATTTTCTATAAAGTTAGGCAGCGCCATCTTTTAGGAGAAATCTGTGAATTATTGGTAGAATTGTTTTGGGTGAAATTATTTCATAAGCTTTTGGATGGGTTTTACTACGCATTTCTAGATGCACTAACAAGAACAGGTAGTAAGTGTGTTCCTCAATCTGAAGACAGCTTAAGATGTAGGTACGATACTTCAGGACAACCCCGGGGTGTGGTGCGAGGGGGCTGCGGGTCCAGGACGGTGCCCCGCCTGCGGCTCTGTCCCTGAGACTGCGCCCGAGCCGCCCTCCGAGCTCCGGGGTGACTGGGCTGGGGAGGTGGGGAATGGAGGAAGGCCACGACTCGGCAGACAGAGGACATGGGGTGGGAAGTGAACCTGACCTGGAGCAAACGGTTCAATCAAATGAGATGAGTGACACCTGGACCCTTCCTTGCAAAGCGGGACCCGTGCTGCTCTGGTCTGGAGGCGGGGCGGAAGCAGGCGTGACTGAGCAGTACACCGAACTCGTTCCCTGTACAGTGAAGCCAGCCCTAGAGTGCGGGTCTACTATTTCCTTCCTTACGATCAAAATACGGACTCCTCTCCCAGACTAACTGTCGGAGAGTCCTCAACAGTCCAGATTTCAGCTCCGATCGCGGGCGACGGCTTCCTTCCAAGAGCGTGTGGTGCCCAGGGGCACAGGAAGCATACTCTATGGGAGTCAAGTGAATATCGAACAGGAGGGTTTGGTTAAGAGGCAGACGACTTTTAAGCTTGCTTTACATTCTGAAAACCCACGGGAGATGCAGAGGATTTCAGGAAGGTCTAGAAGACCTCCGGGAGATCAGGAATGGGGTCGCTCTAACTTGGGGCGGTACTAATCACTTCCAGGGTAGACGCTCACAGGTTAGAAGATTCCTTTGCTTTCAGCCTGTGGTAGGGAAAGGGTGGAGTCTGTCCCAGCCTCTGGGGCGGCCCGCGGGGGTGTGGCTTTACCAGTTTAATAGAGTTTGCCTGACCCCTTCTAAAATGGCCAGCCTGTTTAACTGGAGAACTCCCTGAAGAATGAAAAGGCTCAATTAAAAAGAGGTTCGGTTTGTTCATGAAAGTAAGCAGCTTGTGAAATACTTTATTTTGCTGTGACAAAAAGCCTGGCTTGTAATCCCCAATAAGGAGCAATGCAAGCTACTCATTAACACAAATGAAACCTGTTTCACCAGGCGCACAGGAAAAAGGCTCAACCACTTTGTTCACCAACCTTGGGCCGTCCCTGTCTTTGAAGGAAGCTCTGGGATTAGCTCTGCAAGGGAGACAAAGACTTGGCTGCCGTGGGAGTGGGGCAGGATGTGGGGTGGGGGCAGGGTGGCGCTCGCCTGGGCTCTTGCTGGAGGATAAGAGGGTGCACGGGGGAGGCGGGGAGGCGGGGACGGGGGAGCTCCGGGAGGAGGCAGGAGTTTTAGGAGGAAGGGTATAAGAGCACACTTTGAGTGGGAGGTGAACGGTTTCATTTTCTGGCATTAAAATAGGGATTAAAACAAATCACTGAAGAAAGCACCGGGGAACCTGGTAAACTATTAGCCAGATTTCTCTGGGTGCATTAACCACACAGTCATTACAGTAACTCGGTTGCTAGGAGCTCTGAGGTGAACTGGATGGGATGGGATGGGAGTTGTGTTCAGCGACATTTTACAGTCTGCGAACGGAATGTTTCCACTCCATTGTCTCCCATTTGCCTCGGGGGTAAGTATTATTTTCTCAGCATTCAGCACAGATGTCCTCAGCCCTCCTCCACGCCTCTAGCTGTGTGTGGCCAGTGGGGCGCCTCGGACTAGGAGAAACAGCAGCAAAGCCACCTACTGGGTTGTTGCTGGCTTTTCCCGCGAGGATGACTCGGGCCTTGACCTTGTTCATGTTGAAGCTCTTCAGGTAGGCCTCGTAAATCCTCTTGGCCAGAGACTTGAGATCCGCGGTTTCCGAATCTTCTAGGTCATGTTCACACGTGAGGATTTCTGCTTTCAGTTTTGCCTTCTCAGATCTTGGCATTCGTCCAAAACGAATCGCTGGGGGTCGGGCAGGGGGTGGGGAGCGGTGAATGGAATAATGGAAAACACAGAAATGAGCAGCGCAGCACAGAACAGCGACGGACAGCTGCGCGGGAAGTTCGCACCCCGGAGGGGAAACGGGTGAACGCTCCCACGCAAGTTAAAACCCTCTTCTCAAGATGATTCAGCCTGCTGCTTTGAAGGGATGAGGATGACACCCGGACTCCCTATGTCTGGACTTTTAAAAAGGGTTAAAATGAAGGGCAGCCCCATGACTCACGTCACAGCAGGATGGGCTTAAGGTACAAGGGAACTGACCCCTGAGGCCAAGGAGCCGACAGTGGGCCTTAGAGTGGCTTTACATAATACCCTTTCCTTTTCCCAGAAGGTAAACATGCAGCTTGTGGGAACAAATTATTTTCAGTTTACCCTCAGGGAGTAACTGGCATGCTCTAAAATGAGGGGACGATTAAATACAATTAAACTCGTCACACGGTAAAATGACAGGAACAGCAGGCGCGGCCTGTATGCGACGTGAGCGGCGAGCCGGCCTGGTGGTTCCCGGTCGGCGTCAGACTTTACATCAAAGTCTGACCACCTGAAGTTTCCAGCCGTGACTCCAAGGGCTCTGCTGGATCTCTGCTATTGGAGACTTACTTTCTTGGGTTATCATGTTATACAACGATCTGGGTATCGGTGTTCATTCAAAATACCGTCCATACCGACCCGACAAGGGAGGTGCACTGAGGCACGGGCCGGGAATGCGATGGATAACCTTACCTACCGTTATGGGACATCCCAACCGAAAGGCACTTGTGAAAACGACAGTATTGGCATTTATTCCGATTCTTTTTCTGAATCTTACAGCTCCGGTCGCATTTGTCGTACACCAGCTTTAGCCGAATCGTTCTCCGAAAGAATCCCTGCGGATTAACATGCCGTTGGTTAAAGAATGTGGACCACCACCGAGTCAGCGTCAGTCCTTGCTGTGCGTATAGTGTCTTTTAAAATGAACTAACTGGACAGAAATAGTTCTTCTAAAAATTCTGATATAATTAGGGAAAATTGAAAATTTGAAATTTCATTACATGCAAAATGAGAAACAATAAAATGAACCAAAATTCAAAGTGATTTCAATCTGTCCTCACCTGGCCGGGGGAGACGCAATGACAGTCTCCCAAAGAGTGACTCCACCCTGCTAAGATTTACACACCGTGACTTTCTCTTCTCAGAGGACAGATCCACCTTGGTGACCAAAATGTTCTAGGGATTTTTGTAAGAGAATATCTACATCTAGAAGATGTAGATTATAGAAGAAAAGGAGGCCAGTTGTTTGTCAACAATTTTCTTACTTTCTAAAAGCATCTTTAACTTTACCCAGTAAGAAACAACTTGACTACTTGGCCCATAAAAACCAAGAGCAAACAAAGGTGATGAAGCCCTGGCCCTGCAGAAAAGACTGCTTTGCAGGTATTTTTTTTTTCCAGTGGGGGAGGTAATTGGGTTTATTTATTTATTTTTTAATGGGGGTGCTGGGGATTGAACCCAGGACCTCATGCATGCTAGGGAGGTACTCTACCACTGAGCTCTACCTTTGCCCCTTGCAAGTAGCTTTTCTAAAGGTATGTGGTTGGCAGACTTGTGAAGGGTTTATACTGGGCCAGTCCCTCACTGCTTCCCAGGCACCCTCTGTACTTCTGCTCTGCAGGTCCGACGGCCCACAGGAGAGGGGACAGCATTTTCTTGGGGAACGTAGGAGGAAGGCTGCTGTCTGCACTTGCTCAGTTATCTGGGTTTTGAAGTCACGTGGCCAAGGAACGTGTGGGATTACAAGAAGGATTGAGAAGAGAGAGTTTCAAACGTCAGGATGCAGAGATGCCCTGGCGAACGTGGCCCTTTCTAGCTGTGGACCAGGCCTCCGAGGCCAGGCTGGCAGGGGCAGTGTCGGTGTTCCAAGAGTGCAGTTTTCGCGGCCTACCATTCAAGGCTGTGACATCTTCCCAAAGCTGGAAACACTTCCAGCATTAGCAAGGAAAGATTTCTGATTTTAACCAAATGTTCAGATTATTGGAGCTCCCGTGCATCAACTGCGGGAACGAGCGCCCACACCATGCGATGATCCTGGGAGTGTCAGGACAGAACACGTAGTCCTTCCCGCCGTCAGGCTGGAAGGACCAGCAATCTGGTGGGCGCAATGCTGGAGGACATGGCCTGACCCCCCACACTGCGGGCCTTGTGGTTGTGGTTCGGGTGAACAGGCCCCCGATGCAGGAAGGACAGTTTAGGGGTCGGGAGCAGCTGGGGAGGGAGCTGGAGTTCTGCCAGGTCTGGTCCTCGCCGCTATGTGCGGCGGGGTCCTGACATCACTGATGGAGTGAAAACCACTGCCCTCCCGGACCTTCCAATGAGGCTGGGGGGAGAAAGTGGGCAAAAAGAAGTGGGCTCTGTGGCCTCGCATCCGAAATGAAGGGATCATTCTTAATGTGGCTTATTTTCTTTTAGAGAACACATTTCTCTAAGTCATTTATAAACAGTCCAGCGAAGCGGGGAGGGGACAGCTCTGTGGTAGAGCATGTGCTTAGTATGCGTGCGGTCCTGGTCCAATCCCTGGTACCTCCATCAGAGTGAATAAAGCTAATCACCTCCCTAACCCCCCCCAGATAAATAAGGAAACCTAATCACCACCCCTCAAAAGCTCAAAAGATAGACTAGTTGCTTAAATAAAAAATAAAAATAAAAAAGGGGGAAGGTGAAGCTCAGTGCTAGAGCACGTGCTTAGCATGCCTGACGTCCCGGGTTCAAGCCCCAGCACCGCCATTACAAGTAACTAACTAAATAAGCCTCATTACCCTCCCCCCAAACCCCCAAACAGTCCAGAAATGTGCCCTGGACTTTCCGAAGGGAGAAATTAATCCGTCCCTTGGGTCAGTTCTGGTCTACAGCTCCAGCATTTCTCAGTAATGACCAACGTATGGGTATAAAATAAACGGAGCCACATGTAGCCCCTGAAAGGCCACCTCTCTCCCCGTCCAGGCCCACTGTACCTTGCAGCCTTCACACGCGTGGACTCCGTAATGGTAGCCCGAGGCTTTGTCCCCACAGATTCTACATTCAATGTTCAGCGCTACGCTGGAAGGGTCATCAGTGCCACCAGGAACCACGGGGTAAGTGACGGACGAGGGACTCGAAGCCGGGGAGAGGGTGTCTAAGAACAGAAGGGGAGGATTTATGAATATTCACGGCCGTGCCATCTGATGTCGCAACCGGGCTTCTGAGGGTATGATTTCACGTGTGAGGCATCTGGTGGGGCGGCATCAGCCAGTGGGCAGGGCTCCCACCCGGAGTCAGCCCTGCCCTGGCCCGCCCACACCCGCTGTGCTCCTGCAACTCCAGCAGCCCCGAAGCTCCCCCAGCCGAGGGGCTCCCTGACTAGGAGACAACTTTACTATTTGGTCCATAAAAAACTAAACAAAATGAAAGTGACTAAATCATGGCCCTGCAGAAAAGGCCGCTTTACATGTAGCCTCTACACACGACTGGCCACAGCAGCTTTATTCTTAGTTGTGAAAAACCAACATGTCCTACACAGACCTCATTAGCTTTTCCTTGCTTCTTTCCTTCCAGCCCTTTTGTGATTGTCAACTCAATAAACTGCACCCAAATACAGTATAAAAATCCATGTGGGCAACACAAAAGCACAATCTGTGGAAAAAAAAAATTGGACTTTCTTCAAATTAAAAACTTCTGCTCTGCAAAAGACACTTAAGGAAATGAAAAGGCAAGCCACAGACTGGGAGAAGCTATTTGCAAAACACACATCCAGTAACAGACTTGTATCCAAAGTACACAAAGAAGTCTTAAAACTCAACAGTAATAAAACAAAACATTCACTTAAAAAATGGGCAAAAGACCTGAATAGACACCTGACTGAAGTAGATACACAGGTAGCAAGGAAGCACGTGGAAAGATGCGCCCATCACTGGTCCTCAGGAAATTGTGAATTAAAACAACAATGCGACATCACTACACATCTATTAGCATGGCTAAAATCCAAAAAACTGACACTACCAAGTGCTGGCGCTGATGTGGAGCAACAGGAACACTCGTTCACTGCAGGTGGGACTGCAGAATGGTGCGGACACTTTGGAAGGCAGTTTGGCAGTTTCTTAGGAAGCAAAACAGTCTTAAGGGAATTATTCTCCTAGATATTTACCCAAGGGACTTGAAAATGTGTGTCCACACGAAAACCTACACCTGAATGTTTCCAGCAGCTTTATTCTTAATTGCCAAAAACAGAAGCAATCAAGATGCTTCAGCGGGTGAGAAGCCAGTCCAAAAGGCCACTACAGCCTATGTGATTCCTAATATCTGACATTTTAGGAGAGGAAGAGCTGTAGCAATGGTGAAAAGGTCAGCTGCTGGAGCGGGGATGGGGGTGGCAGGGTTGAAGAGGTGAAACACAGGGGTTTTTGCAGGTGGTAAAAATATTCATAGGAAAATGTAATGGTGAACACACAACACAGTGCATTTGTCAAAATCCACAGAATTTTACCAGAGTGAACCTTAATGTGTACAAATGAACAAAAATAACTTAGGAGGTCCAAGGATCCCAGGATGGAACGCAGAATGTGACCCTACAACCTGACTATATCGCAAATGTACGACACATTTGCGGGAAACTTCCCCAAAGATGCTCACCTAAGTGACCTCAGAAACGAGTGGCGCCTGTGAGACCAAAGGCAAAGGAACCGCAGCTGGACAATGTCCTTAGCTGATTGAGTTGCTTTCCACAGGGCTGAGGCCACTACCCACGTACACGCGAAATGGACAACTAATTAAACGGACGGTGCATGGGGGCGGCCAGGTCTCTCACTGCTGGAGTCTAAACTCACAGATAAGCAGGAGGAGGCTGGGATGACCCAGGCAGCGGTGGATTAGAGTCGCAGACATCTGTTTGAACCTACATTTACCTTAACATAGAGACAGATGGATACATACAGAAACATTCAGGCGGGGGCTGCGGGAGGGTATAGCTCAGTGGTGGAGCAGATGCTTAGCATGCACGAGGCCCTAGGTTAAATCCCCAGTACCTCCTCTAAAAATAAATATATAAGCAAACAAATAAACCTAATTACCCTCCTCTCAAAAAAGAGGAAAAAAGAGATGAAGCAATAAAATGCTTAAAAAAAAATCCACAGACGTGTATATACATAGGTTAGTATACACTGAAATACTCTGAAACACTCAGAGGGAACAAGACTGAGGACTCAGAGGCAGTCCCATGACCACCACTCATGATGGAGAAGCTCCAAATCCTTAGGGCACTGGGGAACACACTCAAAAGGGTTTTGCCTCAGAAGTGGAACAAAATTACCTCTAGAATCAACACTGTTATGGCCCCATCTAACAAAGCTTAACCACAGGACCTGCAAGGATCAACATTCTCCGAGTGCTTTAACTGCATCCCAGAACAAAACTCAAAAATATTTGTGTAAATACAAAAATATCCATCGTCAACAAAGTTCACGATGTATGGCCTCTGATAAAAAAAACAGACACATTCCATTAAATTGGTTAAAAAAAAAAGTCCATCCCCCGCACACCTGCAGGGTTTCGAGCAGCTGGTCCAAACACACGGGTTCACCAGTGAACGTGGCTCCCAGGGAGGGGAGGTGCCCCCTTTCCCACCGTCACCAAGTCAGCGCCCAGTCGTGAACAGCGTCCTCACGGAACGGGAGGAACCAAGCTGGGGAAACGTGCTGCAGACCAAGAACCTGACGCGGGGGAGCCCAGGAGGGGAAAGAACACGGACACCGTTCACCAAACGCCGCACGGAGAGCCTTCTCTGTTTCCCGAGAGAGCCCGAATGGTCCAAACTCAGAGTCAACAACCACACGCCAAGCGCAACCGCTCCTCCTGAGTCTGAATCCGACTTCTTCAGTCCCAGTAAGACCCACGGTGGCCAAGAAGCACGGTGGAGTCAAGTCCACCCCAGATGCAGCTGCCTTTAAGTCAAGGGTGCAATTTACAGCACAGCGTCCTGGGCTGGGTTAAATGCTGCCTCGAAGGTTGGTTCCCTCCCTCCCAGTGAGGTTACCTGGGTGGACCCCACGTGTTACTTCCTTGCATCCACCTCGCCTGATGTCGGATGTGGTTCTGAGCGCAGTGAAGGCAGTAGAAAGAGGGCTCATGTACATTTCCCGATAAAAGAGAGGGATTTTTATTACAGCAGGAGTCTCTCTGCTTTAAAGTGCTATAAACTCAGGGCATTTAGCTGAATATGAAGCATTATTTGACTTCTGTACAGCTTTTAAAAGAAGGCATACTGTGAGAGGCAAGACACACCCCAAAAATCTCAAGGCCCAGGGGCTCTGGGTGTAATGCTTTATCATGTCTGAAGAGTTCCGTGCAGAAAGAGGTGACTTCTTTTCCAGGTAAAGACGACAATTTTCCCTGTGGAAAAAACATTTCGAAATAAAGCTTTCTGGGAAACAGCACACTTACCGGTAATAACGGATCCATCTGACCCTGGGCCATTTCCTAAATACTGGTACTCTGTGAAGCTGAAGCTTCCGGAACTGTCCTCACCAATGGATGGAGAGATGTCTTGAATGGTGCCCATTTCCTGCAGGAATTCTTCGGATAATGGGCTTTCCAGATCATCAGCCTCGAGTGGGGAGAGGAGGCAAATCGGGCTCTCTGTGTCCACCATCCTGGCGGGACGGGGCTGGCCTCAGGGTGGGCTCCAGCCTCCTGGGACGACAGAGACGCAACGGGTGAAACGGGCGCACAGGGACGGCGGTTTCCCCGCAGAGAAGCATCACTGCTCGGTGAAGACACACCTGAACTGACCACCTAAAAAGTAACCCTGTTGGCCGCCTTTCCTCAGCTTGGCTATTTTTTTTTAAATGGAGGTACTGGGGATTGAACCCAGGACCTCATGCATGCTAAGCATGTGCTCTACCACTGAGCTATGCCCACCCCCCTCAGCTTGACTCCTGATAAGCTCACCAAGAAAATAAAAATCTTTAAACAAGAAAACAACCCAGGAGCCGGAGCCGATTAGGATGGAGGCCACCCCTGTGTCACCGAGCACACACCACGTGCTGAGCTCAGTCCGTCGTATCCCAGGTAGAAAAAACAGCAGAGGACACGAAGTCCCCCTTGTCCAGGAACACCCCTTCTGGTGGGGACACATCTGGAATGTCTGACGGTGATACAGCGATGCTGGCGTGAGGAGGGGAGTGGACACGGCTCCGCACGGCAGGCTGGGGAAGGGCCTCGCGGAGCAGGGATGCAGACACCTGCGGGAATGAGGGAGGGAGCTGTACAGATGTCTTGGGGGAGGTTCCAGCAAAACGAATGGCAGGTGCAAAGCCTCAGAGGGAAGCAGGCGGGTACTTCTAGGAATGACAGGTCAGTGTGTTTCAGCTAGGGGTCTGGGGAGAGCAGGAGGGAAGGGCGGTCAGCGGGCACACTGGGAGCAATATTCCGTGTCCTCCGTGCACCTGTGGGTGACTCACATAGGTCCTGCTGAAAGATGACTGCGCCAGACAAGAACATCGTGGAGTTAAAAACATCTAAACAGGCCAGTCCCCGACAGCACTAGCCTGTTTCCACCAGCGAGCAGAAGAACGCTTTCTTTGCGAATACAGGCTGAGCTGTGTCCCCCCAAATTCGTATGTGGGAGCCCTAGCCCCCCAGGACCTCAGAATGTGGCTGTCTTTGGAGATAATACAGAGGCAACTGCATTAAAATGAAGTCTTTACGAGGATCTACTGTACAGCACAGGGAACTACACTCAACTTCTTATAATGAGCTGCAAAGGAAAAGAAACTGAAAAAAAATGTATGCGTATGTACAACTGAATCACTTTGCTGTACACCTGAAACTCACATTGTAAATTGACTACACTTCAGCAAAAAACAAGAATTAAAAAAAAATGAGGGCCTTTAGCAGGGCCCTAATCCAATGTGGCTGGTGTCCCTCCAAGGAGAGGAAATTAGGACACACGCAAAGAGACGGCAGGGGTGCGCACAGGCAGGGGGCGACCACGCGAGGACACGGCGAGAGGCAGCCACCTGCCAGCCGAGGGGAGAGGCCCCGGGAGAAACCAGAGCTGCTGACGCTCTGATCTTGGACTTGGACCCTCCAGGGGCACGAGAAAGAAGTTTCCGTTGTTCAAGGGCCAGTCTGTGCACTTTGTTACGGCAGCCGGAGCAAACGTGTGCAGGGACAGTCAGAACAGCGGCTCTTCCCGCAGTGGCTGGTTTCACGCTCTGGCACAAACATCCGAAACCACTTCCGCTGACCTTCAGACTCATGCCCAGGGTCCTCCGCACAACACGGGCCCTGCTGACGTGTCTCCTCGGTCTCGCCCTCGTCACCGGCCCCCACCCCCGTGGTGACCAGTGGCACCGGGCCATCGCCTCATCCAGACCTCCCTGTGCTGTTCTCTGCGCCTAAGCCCAGACCCACCTCCCTGAACTGCCCTCCCGTCCCTGCCTTCCCGAGGCTCTGCTCCAGGTCCCCCCCCAGGCCCAGCCAAGTCACTCACTGCCAGCAAGGCTGACGAGGTGACATTTAGGCCCTGGAACTATTTTCCTATCTGAAATGAAGCCCACAGCTCACACCTGGGACAGGACCAGAGGAGGTGCAGGCCAGCAACAGCGGCCAGGGCTCACCGCAAGGTGGCTGCCACCCTGCCAAGACCACAGAAGGCCAGGCTCTCTGACGGACTGAGAATACGCCGCCAAAGCAAACTCACAGAATGCACTTGCGTAAAAACACGTCCCATTTCAGCCTTGCTGAAAGTCAACAGCAGCTTTAAGTGCAAAGATGAATGAATCGCAGCTCCCTCTGGAAATGAAAAGTGGCTACAGCTCACATGTCTTTGGTGAAATTCACATCCCATGCTTGGAATTCTGACAGTAAGTGGCCACAGCCGACAGCAACACACAAGGAAAAATAAAAGAGAATCATGAACCTTCCATAAGACTTAGAAGACTTCCTCTAGAATCTGTTAGTGTAATTGGGCTGTGAATCTGGGCATTTTTTTCCTACTATATTTTATTCTTCTATCATAATTGAAGGAAGATTTCTTCCCATGGCAAGTAAGATATTTTATAAACTGCTTCCAACTGCAGTCATTAACTTACTAACGTAACCGTGAAGTTCAGCCTGATAAATACCCGGTAGCCGGGCAGAGGCTGTGTTACCGATGGGGCCGTGACTGCCACCTCTTCCATCTCATCATATTCTCAACGTGGACAGCCGCCTTTTATTCCTGCAAATATTCTGTCTTCCAGCCGGGAGCCTCAGAATGGGGGCAACTGATCTTTGATGACAAAAGGATGTTAGTGTCCTTGTCATCACATGCAGGGAATCCGAGATCTTATCATTTTACTTTCCAGTTGCCTGAAATTGATACCTGAGATTTATGTAGAGAAACATCAGTTCCTGTTCACGAAGACCTTCATACGATCCCTCCGGAGTGAGGCCACACCGTGAACTCCGCCCGGAGGACCGGCCTTTGCACAGATCACTGGACACTCTGGCCTCACTTGCTTCCAGCCAGAGCAGATCAGGGACTATGTCCTTTGAATGCGTCCCCTGGGTAGAGCTGAACACGTCCAGCCCCGCCGGCCTGCGGTTCCTGGCGGGCTCCGGCACCTGGCTCCCCCAACGTTGCTGTCACCTCTGCCCAGGAGCCAGGAGATCCCGGGAAATCCCTGTCTCTAAAACTCACAGAACACAGCCACTGCCCAGTTCATGGAGCCGGGCAACCAGACGCCAGTTACTGTGTCCTGTGCCCGATGTCCTACGTCCCCCAGTGCTTTGGAGGGAGGAAGAGGCACCACAAGCCACCTGTTTTCTCAGCAGCTCCCAGGATGGCCCAGGAGGCGAGAAATAAGGAGAGGATGCAGGTGGGCCTTAAACAGGCCTCTGGTTTCCTAGCAGAGAGAGCTGAGGGCAAGGGCAGAGGGCTGTTGAGGAAAGGAAGTAAGGCCTGGGTCGGGCAGAGGCGGCATCTGTATGATCCCACCGTTCCTGGGTAATCCTGAAACCCGCTCGGCTTCTCGGTGCACCTTCTTTCCCCCCCAGTTTAGATGTTAGAGCCGCATTCTGTGTGTCAGAAACTCAGACGTGATGCTACCAGTCTGCCTTCCGCAGAGCACCTAGGAGTCAGAACATTTCTTTGAGAATGATGAAGCAGGCCACGTGAAAACTACAGAACACTGTGGGGGAAAGATACAGGCAAGAGGGAAAGAAGGAAGGAAGGAAGGAGGGAAGGGCAGAGGATCCTACAGTGGCTTTATGTCCCCCAAACACAGGGCAGGTGAACACACTGGAAGAATTTTCTTTTTAATATTTTTTTAATGGGGAGGTAATTAGGTTTGTTTGTTTTAATAGAGGGACTGGGGATTGAACGCAGGACCTCATGCATGCTAAGCACGTGCTCCACCACTTAAGTTACAACCTCCGCCCTCTTTTTAAAAACATTTTTTAAAGAATTTTACCATTAATTGTTAACCTTAATTTTAAGGAATCTTCCTCATCACCAACTCTTAGATGATGCAACCGGAAGATCAGGCTAAAATGAGTTGCTAACGGCGTAATAAGCCCTGAGTTTGCGAAGCCAAGGAGGGCCCGGCACACTCTGCTCTGGGCTCCCCCAGCACCTCGGGCCGGTTCTGACACAGCCCTCATTATTCACGGTGCTGGAAATTTTCACTTGTCCCCACTGGACTGTACGTCTCCTGGGAGGTTCTGCTAACCGTTGTATCCATGCTTCCGGCCCAATCCTGCGATGCTGCAGGAGTTCCACTTCCATTCCTCTAGCTCGGCTGAGGCTGGCACAAGACGCAGGCTCACGACGTCCTTCCCTGCTCCCCAGGTGAAGGTCCTGGGGCCTCATCCCCGCTCTGCATCAGCCTTTACAGCCCAGATCACCCAGAACGGCACACACGGTCAGTGCGTGAAAGACCACAAAACGTAAGGCCACTTAGCACAGAAGTCAGAGTGGGTCTACCTTGGGAAAGTGATCAGAAATTTGCAGAGTGAATCATAATCATTGTGGGGACTTAAAAGCAAAGCACGAGAGAGGAAACAAAAGAAATCTAAGCATATTAGCGAATGACAAGATCCAAGTCGGCAGGAAAGCAAGCTGCAAACGGGGCAGGGATCTGCTTATCAACACCTGTGTCCCGAGGAAGAGGACTGTGCCCACGGCCCACGCAGCCAACCGGCACTTAACACAACTGCTCAGCAAGGCGTGGACGGGTCATCAGTGTGACTCTGCCCTGGAAGCAGCAGACGAAGTGTCCTGAGATAAAACAAATCAAGTGCTTGGAGGAAAGAGTAAAGAGGCTTCACCATCTGACGGAAGTAAAATACTAAGGGAAATCACTTCCTGACTGGCTCCCGAGGGCATTTTTGTATCTTGCCCATCTCTGCATCCCTGACATTGGACCTCGAAGACCTTCTGCAAAGGTCCTCTTAAATTATTAAATAACAGTTCACTGTCAAAACATGTTTACAGGCTGCGAAATCAGATAGTCAAGAAAAAAGAACCAATGGAACTGGGCAGGAATTCTCATCCTCGGAACTTACGTTTGACTCCCAAGGGTCCAGATACATGGTTACAAACCTCAGTCTTCTCATTCCTTTGCTACTGTGTCTTCCTGCGTTCAGTTCTCACTGTACTGCAAAACCTCTCAGGTTATTGCTCACCATGCTTGACGATGCCACCTTAGAGAAACCTGTATACGTCTTCCTTTGCTAAATTAAGTCTCATCAGACTTCACTGAGTGGTTTAAAGGGACAAGACTTTTGTCAAAGGAGTACCATTTATGTAGCAGATAAGCAGCTCTCAGACAAAGAATTCTGTCTGTTTTCCACCAATTCTAATTCACTACCTTGTCAGATTCTTTATTCTTCCCTGTACATTTTTTAGATACTACATATACTATTTAGACGCTTTTTGGCTTAACTTGTTGGGCTGGGATTTAAAACATTTCAAAATAAACAAAAGAATGCTAAAAAGCCCTCTGCACCTTCACCCAGCACCAGAAGTTCACTGAAACAGATTAATCATTACCACCTGCATAATGATTAACAGGTTAACCAAGTAAGTATAGAAAATGCCTAGGAAACACATTTAGGATGAAGGAAAAACTACTGGAGTAAACAATGGTAAGGAGATGAGGGACTAT